CGTGGGAGTAAACCGTTGGTTTCTGCTGCGTAGCTGATCCGTCGCGCGACAACTGCCTCCAGAAACTTTCCGAGCGTGTTCAGCAACGCCACGGGTCTGTAGGATTTTGCGAGCTGGTAGTCACTTTTACCTTGCTTCCGGAGCACCACCGTGATTGAGCGCTGGAAATGTGACGGGTTGTACCCCGTGTTTATGCATGCGTTGAATAACTGGACCACTGTTTCTAGAATCACCGGTATCTCGATAAGCTTGTGCCAGAGAGAGTTTGGTATACCGTCTTCTCCGGGTGCTTTCCCTGCTTTCGCTCCTCGCACCGCCTCCTGTATCTCTTGAGCGGTGACTGCTGGAAACTCAATTTGCTGTGGGTACAGGAATGAATCTGTGTCGGATAGATCGGCTGGTGGTGGTTTTGGGAAGAAGGCAGTCCGGAATGCCTCTGCCTTTTGCTCAACTGTTTCCGCGAGAGTTCCAGGCATTTGGGGATCTTGTATTTTCAGCGAAGGGGTGATGCCCTTCTCATATGCCCCGTCTCGGTTTCTTGCCCATTTAGCCAATCGCCACATACCCTGTGGGCCATCTTCAACGACCTGCTGGACTCGGCGCCGGTGCGCTCTTGACAACGTTTTCTTGACGAGTCGCATTTTCTTGTTGCGTGCTTCCGAGTAGCACATCCAGTCGTAGGGGTCTTTGGTCCTCGTGTGTTTGCGACGGAGGCGACGAACTTCTTTGACCGCAACTTTACACTCGTCGTCAAAGTCGGGGTTCGACCACGCGGATGGTTTTGCCCATGGGGTTGATTCCTCGATTGCTGACTGGATCACACCCATTAGCTCCTGGCATTTGGCTTCTATCCACTGCGGATCTGCCTCGTATAGGCCCCCTGCCTGTAGACCTCCTTCGATCTTCTGGATGAGTTTTTGATCATCAGTTGCGTTCCAGTTTCTTCTCTTCTGCTGTACGGCAATGGGTGTAATAATATCAAGCACAGTCCTGATCGGGAAATGGTCGGATGCATGTTCGATGTCATCAGCTCTCTCGCAATGGATCAGCCTGTTGACAAGGTTAGATGTGATGAAGGTGAGGTCAATCACCGATGACTGATCGTTTCGAGACCAGGTAGGTCTGCCTTGTTGTGTCGTCAACTCGAGTTCCCATTCATTGGCGATTTCTAGGAGTTGCTTGGCCTCCTGATCGGCCCTGGTCCCTGTTCCTCCCCATCTCGGGTGATGCGCGTTCATATCTCCAAGGACGATGTGTTCTCCATGAGGTCGTTTTGACAGCTCATTTCTTAGATGTCTAAGGGTATTGCTGCCCGGCCTATTGTATATGTTGTGTATGAAGAGATCTGTCCAGTCTCTGCCTTGATGAGCCTTTCTAAGTTTCAGTAACTGGTAGTCCTGTGAGACGAGTTGACACGACCAATGGCTCGGGTCAAGCCTTTTAGAGACAAACAGGCATACTCCCGGTTGGGAGAGATCCGAGGCTTGGACTTGATCATCCTGGCCTTGGGTTGATCCGTCAGCAGCTCCTTTTGGTGGGTAGATTAGCTGGAAAGTTGCCGTCGCTGGTTGGTGCGTTGTGTGTTGCATTTCGTTCTTCCATGGCTCCTGCACCGCGACGACGTCCGCCGCGAGGATATTTCTGTCTCTGAGGAACGTTGCCATCACTGGCCACGATTTGTGTACGTTGTATTGAAGAATCTCAAACGATTTCATTGATGAGTTTGTTCGTCATCGCTTCGTTCGCTGGCTTCGTGCCATACTTCGTCATTTGGGTCTTCGATTGTTGGTGCATCCGTCGGAAAGAGCGGCGGAGATGATCCAATCGGTATCGCTTGCCGCTGTGTGTATTTCAGAATCACCAATTTGCGGTATTCGGGGCTCTCCGGGTCCAATTCCCCCTCGTCATCAGGCCCGGACGTGTTACCGGCCTCATTGACAGTGGTGACCTCGTTGATGAATTGGGTAAGTCGGTGTTCTAGGCTATCTTGCCGAGTGTCAGGTTGAGGGAGACTGGCCGGAGTGGGTTGAATGCTGAGCCATTCATTGTCGTCTGGTTGCTCGTCCATGGTGTCGTCCGGCTCGCCTGTGCGGCGCCTTTTCGAGGCCGCTTGGAGCCTTGTGGACCCTTGGCATGCCAGCGGTATCACTGTTGGTTTGGGATTCTTTGACCTCGTTCTTGAGCCCTTTGGGCGGCCAGGGCCCCTTTTGAGCTGAGTAGGCTGAGTCGGTTCAGTGACCTCCTCTGGTAATGTTTCTACTTCTATCGCTGCAGTCTCCACGTCGATTACAGCATCCTGGGGGTTCCATGGGGGCTCTTCCCCCCGCTGCCCCTCCGGAGCGTGTATCGACGCTTCGAGTCCATTCGCAATCATGGGGTCTGCCCTGGTCGAGGTTGCTTCTTTGCCGGTGCTTGCTGCCACTCGGAAGTGCATAGGAATGCGGTGATATGCAGGGCAGTTGGCCAGCGCTTGTTTAGCTTCATTCATCGCCGCAGTCTTCACTGGACACTCTCGACTTGTAGGACGGTGTCCCTCGCCACAGTTGGCGCACTTCACAGGTATCGCTTGCCCCTTTGTCGACGGACACTCCCAGGTCGGGTGTGCGTCGGCGCAGTGGCCGCATTTGTAAACGTTGGGACAGTGTGACTGGATATGCCCCGGCTTTTGGCATTTTCTGCATAGCTTCATCCGCCCCTCGCGGCAGAATCGTGATGCATTATGGATTTGCTTCCCCCACACGACCCCGGTGATGATAGCACGATTAGCCACAACTGGACTGGTGAACTCGATCAGAATCGAACCCTCCGCCCTTTCACCCGGACGCGTCAGCCATCCCAGATACTGGATCTTGGAGTCTTCGCCCCAGTTGTTCTGTCTGAGCAGTTCCGCTGCGACGTCGGCCATCGTCTCCGGTGTAAGCTTCATCGATTTCACGGGGATGTGGTATGCCACGATGCCCCACGACGGCTCCTGGATCACCGACCCAGGCCCAAAAGCCCTCAACCATGCCGGGTGCTTGCGAAGGACCTCTGCCCCTGCAGCACTGTTAGCTATCATCGCCACGTCACCCGAGGGCAGTTTGCGGGCTGCGACAAATGAGGCCTGCTTAGCCAGTACCCCAGAATTCTTCTGTCGGGCATTTGTCGTCCTTTGTCGTTCGGCCCGTTCAACCAGATCCTTCGGCGTCAATCCTCGGATCTGCTCCCGGTTTGGCCCTACTTTGACGATGACCTCCCGATCCTCGCGAAGTTCGATTTCCGGCACACCTGGAGACGACGTGCCGTTGCTCCGGGTGTTGGGTGCCACAGCCTTGGTTAGGTCGCGTTGCCATTCTCCGGCTCGGAAGCTACGCCACGCTGCAGCAGAGTTCGCCGCGGGTGTGGATAAAGTTGTCGATAAGGTGCTTGTTGTCTTTTCGATGGTGTCGATTCGCTGGTTCAGACGTTCGGTGTCGAGGTTGATTTTGGTCAGCGCCTCGAGCACCTTGGCCATCCCCTGGCCGTCGCCCCGTTGGGCGTTAAGTGCGTACTGGCGGACGGAGCGAATATATCCAGTGACATATCGGTCTTCCGTGCCACTGTTTTCGATGTGGTTAAGCACCCTGCGGGCCCCTTCCGCGATCTCGTCCATGGATCGGGGCGGGTCCGCGAGGGCCGTGATTTTTGGTGTTCCTCTCCTGACAGGGGGCAAATTCTGTGCATTCGCACCAGTCGCAATCGCCGCTGCCATCTTCCCTATGAAACAGGTATCAGATGGTAGCGCTTGAAGTTACGACTACGGTAAACTAATTCTTGAGGTCCTGCGACCTCTGCTTGGCTAGATCTTCCAAGAAAACGTTTTTGCCAAGAAAGAGTTTCCATAGACGGTCAATACTAGCACATACCAGTATCTCTCAATCCGACAATGTATTATCTGGTAGATTATCTAGTATTGAATGTATGTATTGTAGTAATATATTTCTTGGCGGGCTTTTTATGAAATTACCTGCCCGTTTTGGGGGCCAAACGGGCTGTCTTGGCGGGCTGTGTCAAGGTCTATCAAATTATGTCAGGATGAGGAATTGATGTACTGGCTGGTACTGAACATGTCCAATAGAATCAGGTGATTGATTGTAGGTGTTCAAGATCGGTTGAACGATCTCAGGGGTCTATACAAATAAGCTTCGGCGTGTTACCACACCGTACTTCCGAATGTGTCCGGAATACCGTACAAATACTAGGGGGAATTGGGTGAACGATGAATAAGCCTGTCCCAAAGGGCCCTAGTGGTATTTGACCACTCTCTCAGTTCGTCAAATTATCCCAGCTGAGCCATTTCGAGCAGGCATTGAAATCATCGCGGCCCGCATGGAAAGCAACTTGGATGGTTGGGATTAAGTGTCTACAGTGAAAAGGGCAAAGAATCGCCTCTTTGTTTTGTCATAATTAGAGTGTTGGTAAGTTGTTACCGTATACATTTACACTGAGGTATGCTGTGTTCGTGCACCTTGTATCTAACAAGGAATTCTTGTTCGACGAATTTGATTGTATACGGAAATTGCAGGGTGAAGGGTATGTATGAGGGAAGAAAGGACAACTGGCGATTGTCGGACGGCATGCCACTTTTTCTATTCCCTGTTGTTGATTCATCTGGCACAAAGTGTCCATTCTACATGACCACGAGAGGGGAAAGAGTTGTTCGGAGTTGTGCTTACGTACAGTGAACTAAATGACCATGAAAGACAAGGTTTGCTTGGGCGTAGCTTGCCAAGCCTTGATACCACTGCTCCATTTTTCCCCAGCATAGCTTGTCACAAAACCAAAATTCTGAACGAATACACGAATGTAGAACCTGTTGTTGAGATATTGGTGGGGGCCAATCCGATGCTGATGCCTAGCCACTAGAGTTACGGAAAAGAGTTATTCCGAGATGACCAGCCGAGTACAATATTGCAGATTCTCCTTTTTTTCACGCGATCGAAACTAAGATACTGTATGCTCAAAACCCTGGCCGTGACAGTATGACTACCCCTTTTACCGAAATGACCAACGATGAAAATTGTCAAACTATTGATAAAATAGTAAACAATTTCCTCTCTCAACGTTCCGAGAAAAATCTGAATGCTCTCAGACTTGCTGGTGTTTCCGTTTCCGAATTCTCGGCCGAATTGGCGAACCATTTGTCCACACTAAATGAAGGTGGTAGTATTGCCCTTGGCCGTGGAGAAAATTTGGCCAGCATTAGTCTAAGCAAGAGCCTCGAGAGCCTTTTCTCGACCTCAAAACCACGCGTAATCGAAGGGCCGCCGTTGACGTGGACGAGGCTTGTTCTTTTTGCAGGTCCTAGGTTTGAGGGCTCAACGCCGCTCAAAGTTGAAGACTCTAGCGTTGAGCTGTCAGGAGACGACCTCAAACTCTTACGCTCTGGTAGGCCTTGGAGATTTCTCTCCCCTTGGCCAGATAGAGACGATTGCGCGAAAGAGCTTCAATCAAGCGAGACAGCACTGCAAGAGCTTACTGATGTTCGGGAAATGATAGGCGAAGGTGAGTGTGCTGTAAATGTGGCTCAATAATGTTGGATGGGAAGCTAAACCGATCAATATAGTCTTGGGACAAATTTCCCTTGTTGAGCAACGTCTCCAGAATCATCACGATTTGGTGTCTCAACTCTCTGGAAGTAGAGACCACTCTACCCACCAAAATGGAGATTGCTCAACCCTTGACGGTGCTCAGTTATCTGTTCCAAATCAAGGAGCTTTGGGTTCCGCACCGTTTGCAGAAGAAGAAAGCTCAATTCATCAAGATTCACCCTCCATCCCCACACCTATCTATTATGCTAGCGAAACCCGATCGGCTCAGCCAGTTCATGAAGATCCGAATGATCGCACTCTATCAGAAGATGCTATTGCGGGGGATTCTACTCGATGCCATGATTTACGACCTGCAACCGGCGCAAGGCCAGAATCCAGATTACACACATGTGACTTCATTCAAGGTCTGAGCGAGTAAGTGAAGTAATCACTGAAATATCGATGTTCTTTACGACTAACGCGTCAAAGAATTCTTGATGATCGAAATAATTCGGAAGTAATGCGCTGGTCAGAAGATGGGAAGTCTGTCTTGATTGCCCAAGAAAGCAAATTTCCTGCACACATACTTGCAAAAATGTCCACCAAAAGCTACCAATCTCTTATTCGGCGTCTTTATTACTTTGGATTTCACAAAACCGGAGGCGCCTACCATCACGATTTCTTTATACGTGGTCAGCCTAGCTCCATACGACCAATTCGGGAGATGAGTTACAGCCCTTCACTTCCTTCGCCTTTACACAAAAGTACATCTCAAGTTGGGCCTCGGTATAAAGTGATCAAAAGAAAGCGGACAAGAGATAGTGGTTACAATTCACCCAAGGAGTAAGATGGGTCATGTCAATAGCTGTTTCTCTACTTCAATCCAAGCAAATGCTCTCAGAACGCTCAGTAAAATTTCGCTGGCTCAGGTCCGTGGTGAATACTATAACAGGAGTACCGTCTATTCTTACCCCTTTGTGCGCGCTATTCCCCAAGTAATGAATTGGAAGAGATAATTGGCCCTTGGAAACGAGACTTCCATACTCCACTAAACCCTCGGTTATTGTATTTTATCACTATAAGTAGGCGGAGAAGTACTTGATATTGGGGGTTCAGACTTAAACGATCTCGTGAATCGGATGCTTGTTAGCAGCAATTCAGCTAGTCTAATCGTACATCTCGACATATTTGTTGAGTATCGCGGTGGTCAAAGCTTATGGCGGGACTAGCGATGGACGTTTAAATAGATGGGATTCCCCACTTCTGATTAAAATCTCACCAAGAAAGAACAACAACTACCTATTACAACAACAATATTCCTTTATTCATATTCGCATTCCTTCATTCCTTTCGGAGCCCTAACTACGGTGGAAAGAACGCGTCCAACAAGCTGTCAAACGCGCGCCCAAAGCGATTATCGCACTAGGAAGGCTGCGAACTATACGTCCAGAACAGATGCGACAGCTCCACGGGTATTTGCCACGTCGGTCGTGGACTACACGTCAACAGTCCGGCACGACCTATTCCGAGATAGTACCCATCTGCGACACCTCAACACGGTCCTGGAGATCTCCTCTCAAGTATATGTCTCCATGCATCGGGCTGGCATCACTGTCGATACCAGTACCCTTTTCTTTGGTGATAGAAGCGGATCGGGGGGATCCTATGAATCCGCGCCATCTCCGCCAGCCCTCAAAGTCAATCAGACCCTGCATGCCGCCCCATTCTGTCACTTTCTGCCCAAGTCCTGGGAATCTCACGGGCTATCTCTATCGTTAGTACACACCCTGGGGGAGGTAGAGTTTAGAGTGATTAGAACATGCCTTAGTCAAAAAATCGTTGCAGCCAGCAGCCAGTGCATCGTGGCAGTCGCTTTACAAGCTGTTGGCCGTTAGTGCGACAATGACCACCGGACTGCGAAATACAGAAATATTGGCCAGAGTATCGACTTCGCTAGGAGAGCGCTGAAATCCCGTTTCATTGCGGAATGGAGACTTAGCGTTAGGGCTTGAGATACTAGAGCGACTGGAAGTTGTCTTGGAGAAGACGCCGATTTTATTCAGCCGCTCGAGCCGCCGGATCTCTCTGGTAGCGTCCAACCCGTTCATGTTCGGCAACTGGATGTCCATCAACACTAGGTGGAAACCACCTTGTCGCCATTTCCGTATTGCCTGTTCGCCGTCCGCTGCACATTTCCAACGCACGTTCAGCCGTTTCATAAATGCTCCCAGCAGTTTCTGGTTGATTATATTGTCTTCCACGACAAGGACACTGGTTGGTGGCACTGTGCCATCAATCATCCTGCCAAAGGCCGCACCTCCCGTCGAACAGCTCTCCTTTGTTCGGAGAGAGCGGGGAGATTCGGCTGGCGTTGGGGGAGTGTGTGTCTTTACTTGCGGTGACGCAGTTAGGGCTGAGGCATTATATTAGAACTACGTGATGACATCGAACCATCATGGTACTAAATTCAAAATACAGAAGTAGAAAAAGAGCCGGAAACGGATTGTGGAGATAACAACGTGAGTGGGCAGTTGTGGTATGGAAATTATCGATGACACCAACGATTATATGATACATGTATGGTGGATTGTCACACCATTGAACTGACGTAATATCACGAGACATGCAAGAGATATTCTTTGTAACTGATCGGTAGCGAGTATTTCCATCCACCATGACTCGGTCAGGTAAGTTTTGCAAGGGGTCAACTCCTTAACATGAAATAGCGATCAGTTCGACACGAGAACATTTGAATCTTGGAGGTCCGGAGGTACTTCCATCTGGCCAGTATGTGAAATTAACTGTTGTTGTTGTCGACGAAGTCTTTCTGGTCTCGGTTGAGACCAATTGTATGGGTCTCGGCTCGTTGGCCGTTGCTCGTATATGCCCGATCCTTGTCCTACAGATTCCTCTGGCAACGTATCTTTCATCTAGCAGTCGATATATCTGGCTGTTCGGAAGCACAATGTGAGGAGGCATCTCGCACAGGAGCGGCATTATATGAATGCGGTGACCGGCATCAACAAGAGACATAAAGTCCTTAGTTGATGATGGAGATTTCACGACGCGAAATCTAACTTCATAATTGACTGATACGAATTCCGGCGCATGGCATTCACGTCAGTCTTTTGCTTCGTCGCTAAATGATGTCTTCCAAAGGTGGGGGGCAGATGTAAATGCTGTAATCGTACATCAGAATGTGCAACTGGGTGATGGCATGATTGAGGTAGTAATTGCGATGGAACCACAAATAAAAACGGAAATCGATATATTTCCTCCGGTTCCAAAATGCTAGTGTCGAAGACGTCTGGCTTATGAATGGGCATACCAAGTCGAAGAAAACGTTTTCTGGCGTTAATTTGTCCCATTCGGCTCATCGTTTGAGGTTTCTCAACACTTGTTCCAACATATCCTACCGATGTTAAAGATGCAATGTGTAGAGGTTGAAATAGAACCCTTACCCTCGAAGATGATGCCGATGCCATCGATTTTCATCCGGCACTTGGGTGTAAAAATAATTTCGCCACGGATTTCATCCCCAGTTTTGTAAATTCTGGGTTCATCATCATTTGACCGGGAATCCAAAAAACGAAATTCTACAGTCGATGTTGTTTTTTTGCAAAATAATAACGATCGACACATCTTGAGAAGCTGTGATGTACCATATTCGGCAAAACAACTCTTTCTTGGCAAAAACGTTTTCTGGGAATATCTAGCCAACCGGAGGTCGCGAGGCCTCGAGAATTAGTTCACCGTAGTCGTAACTTCAAGCGCTTCCATCTGATCCCCGCTTTGTAAGGGTGATGGCAGCGGTGATGGCGACTGGCGCGAATGCACAGAATTTGCCCCCGATCAGGAGAGGAACATCAAAAAACACGGCCCTCGCGGACCCGCCCCGATCCATGGACGGCATCGCGGAGGGGCCCGCAGGGTGCTAAACCACATCGAAAACAATGGCTCAGAGGATCGATATGTCACTGGATATATTCGAGCTGTCCGCCAGTACGCACTCAACGCCCAACGGGGCGACGGCCAGGGAATGGCCAAGGTGCTGGAGGCGCTGACCAAGATCAACCTCGACACCGACCGTCTGAACCAGCGAATCGACACCATTGAAAAGACCACGAGCGCCTTATCGACTTTGTCCACCCCCGCAGCGAACTCTGCGGCGGCATGGCGCACTTTCCGAGCCAGAGAATGGCAGCGCGACCTAGCCAAGGCTGCGGCACCCAACACCCGGAGCAACGGCACATCGTCTCCAGGAGTACCGGAAATCGAGCTCCGCGAAGACCGCGAGGTCATCGTCAAAGTTGGGCCAAACCGTGAACAGATCCGCGGATTGTCGCCGAAGGATTTGGTTGAACGGGCGGAACGGCAAAAGACGATCTCTGCTCGGCAGAGCTCAGGGGTACTGGCTGGACAGGCATCATTCGTCGCAGCCCGAAAATTGCCCTCGGGCGACGTGGCGATGATCGCCAATAGCGCCGCCGGCGCAGAGGTCCTCCGCAAATACCCCACGTGGTTGAGGGCGTTTGGACCTGGCTCGGTGATCCAGGAACCATCCTGGGGAGTCGTGGCCTACCACATCCCTGTGAGGTCGATGAAGATTACCCCGGAGACGATGACCGACCTTGCAGCTGAACTGCTCAGGCAGAACAACTGGGGCGAGGACTCTGGGATCCAATATCTTGGATGGCTGACGCGTCCGGGTGAAAGGGCGGAGGGCTCGATTCCGATCGAGTTCACCAGCCCAGTCGTGGCTAATCGCGCTATCATTACCGGGGTCGTTTGGGGGAAGCAAATCCATAACGCATCACGATTCTGCCGCGAAGGGCGGATAAAGCTTTGCAGGAAATGCCAAAAACCGGGGCATATCCAGTCACACTGTTCCAACGTTTTCAAATACGGCCACTGCGCCGGCGGACACCCGACCTGGGAGTGTCCGTCGACAAAGGGGCAAGCGACACCAGCCAAGTGCGCCAACTGTGGCGAAGGACATCGTCCGACAAGCCGGGAGTGTCCGGTGAAGATCGCAGCGATGAATGAAGCCAAACAAGCGTTGGCGGAGTGCCCTACATATCACCGCATCCCTATTCACTTCCGAATTGCAACAAGGTCCGACAAATCAACAAACTCGACCAGCTCAAACACTACCACAGGAGACGGAATGGAAGCGTCGATACATGCCCCCAGGAGACAACAGGAGGAAGAGCCTTCGACGGTCAGCCTGGAAACTGTGATTGATCCGGTCACCGCATTCGTGGAAACAGAGACGGCACTAGAGGAGCCCACTGAAACCACACAATCCAAACGAGGCCCTGGTCGCCCAAAGGGCTCAAAGACCAGATCAAAAGTTTCCAAACCACCATTGATACCACTTGCATGCCAGCGATCAACGAGGTATCAACTGGCCTCCCAAATAACGACCCAGAAAGACGCCAATTCCAAAAGGCGCCGCACGGGCGAGCCAGAAGACGCCATGGATGAACCGCCTGATGACAACGAGTGGTTCAACATCCGACTCAACCCAGCTGATTTCTCCCAGACCAACACCCAACAAGATAGCCACGAAAACCGACTTTCCCAGTTCTTCGATGAGGTCACGACCCTCAACGATGTGAATAGCACGCTGGAGCCCAATGGTGAAGAGCTGGATCCGGAGAGCCCGGAATACCGCAAACTGGTGGTCTTGAAATATAGACATCAGCAAATGGTATCGGTTAGATCATCTCCTCCCGTGATTACAACCGATGCAGTGACAATCGACGACCCAAACAACGAGGTATGGCACGAAGCTAGCGAGCGAAGCGATGACGAACAGCACCTCCAATGAAGACTTTCGAAATCCTCCAATACAACGTACACAAGTCGTGGCCAGTGATGGCCACCTTTCTTCGAGACAAGAGAGCTCTCGCAGCGGATATCATCGCCGTGCAGGAGCCGTGGAAGAATGAGCTACAGCACACAACCCATCAACCAGCGACTGCATCATTTCAGCTGGTATATCCGGCAAAAGAAACAGTGCACGAAACCAATCAAGCCCAGCACGAGAGCCAGAATCAGACCCTCGCTCCCCCGCAACCAGGAGTATGCCTGCTTGTGTCCAAGAAGCTTAATCCGAGCACCTGGTCATGCCAGCTCATCTCACAGGACCACCAATTCTTGAAGCTCAGGAAGGCCCGTCGAGATGGAGACTGGTCGGATCTCTTCATACACAATATCTACAACAGGCCAGGCAGCGAAACACTAGAGCAACTGAGATGTGAGCTGTCGAAACGCCCTCTTGGTACGTTGAGCTTTGGTTAAGTGAGTAGCCACGATATGCTTCCTCAATTTCCTTATTTACTAATTCCTCAGCTTTCTTGTTGACATTGGGAGTGTTCCAGTTGGCTGTAAGCTGGAGAAAGGATGTTCTGCGCCCGGTATTCCCATGATCAAAGAGTTCATCCTGTGGTTCTCCACTCATTTTACAAAAGAACGTCTTCAACCAGATGGAAGAGCCGCGGTGATTGCTACTCTCGTATGTGCGGAGAGGTTTTTCAGTAGCTTTGAGAGTACTACTGGGAACAGGGTTGCTACAGAGGACCGTTCAGAGGTATACAGGGTTAGTATAGCAAGTTATGAATATTAATGCTGCGGGCCGGGGCTTACCTTTCCATAGTGGATTAGATCGGATCGAATGGCCATTTAGGTTATCTAACAGCGATATTTGATGGGAATTCGGACGTCTAAGTTTATATAGGATGACAGAGACTGGTTGAGGGCACTATAGTAATAAACAGGCAATTAATCAATGGCAGGGAAGGGTGTGTAGATTCGACAATATGAACAATCTGCTCAACGGGGTTTGAAGTCAAAAGTTTCCTGTTTTTTCTCAATTCAGACACCTAATGCTCCAAGGATCTTACAGATGAGCATAAATCGAATTGTCAGGCCAAATCGGTGCTTGTTGGCCTGGAAACTAATTGACCAGATTGTCTACCCGTCGAATCTCCACCCCACTCTTCCATACAATTTTCCAATTGCCCGATCAAGTTCTCAGCTAGATTGTACTGTAGCAAAAAGAACAATAAGTACTTTCAACAGTGTAGACTACCCAAAGCAACTTCTAAGTTGCCACCGCGGGGATGAACAGAAAAATGACTGGGGAGGTGCTGGTATAGTCGCTAGATCAAAATATATATTTCTCATTCCACACAGTACATTAACGATCACTCCGACCAGAATCAACCACCAAGAGCCTGGAACTTACTCAATTTAGGGAAATCGACAATTTTCAATGCTGGACTTTCTATATGAAGGTAAATTACATCAAATTTCGTGAGTATTGTTGCTCCATTGCAACATTCAGTCATGTATCGCCCAGAACAGTGTTTAATAACAACGAAGAATTAAGGTGAGTCATCAATTTATCCATCCGAAAAAGGAAAACCTTGGCAAAATTATGCAATCGCGGCTCTATGAGGTTCGAACCGCGACAGAACCGCGTAGATCCGCGGTGCGGTGCGGCCCTCATATATTAGAACCGCAGAACCGGAGGTTCTGGTGCGCGATTCCAGACCTTGGAACCAGAACCGCACCATTTCGAGGTCTATATACAGGCAAGGATTGTCAGGCCCAATAAAACAAGAAATAACCCCAATGAGCCAATGAAGCTGCCCACAAGGCTCGTTGATGCCTGGCAACTGTGAGGTCCGGATTTTGCCAGAACAATTTGAAAGTACTTGTTTCCATATGCCATGGCCTCATGTAAATGACCCAGGCTCGAGTAATTTGGGCATGAACGAAGCTGAGACCAGCCAAGGTGATGATCATATATGAAGAAAACAAAGCATTGTGGTATTCCTGCATTTTTGGTCAATTAAGTACGTATGGTAGGCAGAATCGTCAGTTGAACCTCACCGAAAAATACAAGGAAAGTGATAGAATAGTAATTGCCCCCATCAATAATAGGACAGATATCATATGGGTTGAGGATTGCAAAGTAGAAACACATAGGTACTAGAGAGGTCATTTTCACGTCGCTCCCTCTATTTCAATGTCCTTGCCTCATTTAAATTGAGTAAAAGAAATACACTGCCAATTTCCTGCTGTAGTATTGGCCAAGGCTGGCCTGGAATAGAATTAGGTACGATAAAGACTAGGAGAGAGATATTGAATTTTTACCTTTCTTCCACTTCGATTCAAACAATACGAGCGGAATAGATGCGATCAGCCCCAAAAGGGCGGCACCGCCTATTATAAGTTGGCTTGAGATGAGAAATTCTCTGCTCAATCTTGGTAGGCTAAAAGCCTTGATAGACAGCAGCCAGAAAATAAGACTTCTTCCACAGCAGAAAGATGCTATTGCGGACGTAGCCAGTTGAAAAATCACCTCAGAATCCATATTTTCCTGATTTTATGAGTAAATCGTCATATCCGTTGATTCGAAAAGAAAAAGACCATGTCTACTTCTCCTGAGCCTGGTAAAGTATGGTTTTATACATTTGCTAGGCTTGGATTAACCAACTTGACTATGTCTTCTCTAACCAAGAGCTACCGAGGAGGAAGAGGACAATAGGGTGAGTTACATGTTATGGAGAAAGGAATCTGGGGCAAAATGTCTAGCCTTCGATGAGAATTGTCTAGAGCGGCATACAAGATCAGCCTAGCATTCTAACTCATGCCTTTGATGCATGTACCACTTGCCTCGGTCATTTTGCCATGATTTTGGGGGGGGGGGTTCTGACCATAATTTTAGCCGTATATGAACTATCCTCTCTTTACCAAATACCGGATTGTTGTTTACCGCTGATATTCGCAGTTCCTACAGGATCTTGCCATTAGATAGATCCTCGATCTTTGATTCTCTCTCTTTCTTTTTTTTTCCTGTCTGTTTTGATACTGAATACACAGTTTTCTTTCATTCTGCTCGTAAACTATATCATTATCATCTCCCCATAAGGTTATAAGCTCTCTTACAAAACTTCTTTATTGCTATTAGACTATGGTACCCCACTTTATGTGGATCTGCGGATAAATCAACCTCCTCCAGAGTTCGTACAGCCAACTAGTTAGCAAATACTGACAATGTGTTTTTATGGCTTCGCTAAGCGCTTCTTGAAACCTCACTAGACTATATGGTTCTAAAGGCAGTTCATTATATTAGCCGGAATCGCATCGTATATCTCGCCTTTTTCGATTACGTCGTGTGCGTTTTGGGCGGGGTTGTAGACTTTTCCACTATATTTGTCGTATGAAGATGGGAAAATGCTATTAGGGTTCGAGTACGCTAGATTACGCGGAATTTCGTATATAGTCCCGAGTTACGTGCCCGCATCGGAAATTGATTTCTCTCACTATTCTGAACGAGTATGTACAGAGATATCTTTTCGATATATCAGATACCCTACTCTCAACGCATGCTTACTTGCATTGGCTTAAAGGCATTCCTGCGGGTTCCATTTCTTCAATGGAATGCGCATCATCGTCGTTGCTGAACACTCCAATCGTGCCTAAATGCGTCAACAAGTCTCAAGAGGAATGGACAAGATTAAAAACATACCGAAGCCAAATGTAGCTTTGTTTGTCTTGTCATACATCTGGACATCTAGGACACTGTGATCCTTCACATTACCGCCCATAAAGCAGCTAACTTCGGGCTCGAAGGTGTTAAAAAGGGTTTTAGCATCAGCGCTTATAGAGGCAGGGTCAGATCTAGAGGCATCAGCGTCGAATCGAGCCTCAAGAACTCCAGTATTCAGCGCCTCCTTATCATAAACTTCCTGGCGCTTCATATTGGTCTTGAGATCTTCAATCTGGTGACGGCCCAGCAGATGAGTAGGATGGCCCGTATAGGCAGCAGTGATGAAGATACCGTTCATAGTGTCCCGGGTAGTCATTTCCATGCTGCCATGCTTGAAGTGATCGAATCGAAACATGGACACAAGAGGGTGGTTACCAAAGTCCTTCTTCGCGAGACGATGATCGCTTTTTGCGTATCCGAGGAATTCAGGATCACGCGAGGAAAGGCTCCGAAGCTGAATGTAGACGAAATCATCGTGGTTGTTCTGGGCGTCGACATCACGTCTGGTGAGGGTGTTCATTTCCTGTTATCAATTAGGTTTTCATATTCATACTGTACTCGTTAGAAGAGAAAAGCTCACCAAATCCACAGTACCATCCGCAAGGAACCGATTAGGCATGATCAACCGACCACCCCTATGGAGAAGCTTCCTCTCGGCAGAAGCAACACCACCGAAGCCAACAACGGTAGTGAAGAGGCCTTCAATACAGGGACCCCAGCCAGCATCACCGTTAGCAGTCTGCTTGCAGGAATGGACAGAATTCTTCAAGCCGATAGTGGCAGCAGCAAGACTAGCTCCTCTCCAGGCCCATCCAAGTACAGCCAGGACAGCAACCTGTGAGATTCCGACAGAATTGATATTGGTGGGATGATGATCTGGGAGCAGTGAAAGGTCTGTGGTCGGAGGAGCCTCATGTCTGTTCATCCAAAGGCCACTTGGGATGGTGTCGTTGCAAGTAAGACTGTCCCAGTCAAAGTTTTCTGGAGTCCATTTAGTACCGGCCACGACGAAACTCAAACCCGAGAGAGCAATCCAGACTGGGAAGATGCGGACCATTGTTGCTAAGGTAAAGATAGAGAGGATATAATTGCTCTTTGAGTGAAGAGACGCAACCGAGGGGACCTTTTTATAAGTTTACTTTGGCCCCCATCTATATTGTCTATATATTCTATGATCCTCAATCGAGTAGTCCTCCTAGAGTCTGATTTGTGACGGGGGCTCAAAATTTGTCCCATTGGTTGCTCATACACTTTCCATATACTGTACTGCAGGCTTACGGACTTGGTCCATGGATAAAGCGCACGGGCTTGAATCAGCCTTCTCTGAAGCGCCAATGAGATGATCGTCCAGACAGGAACAATTTCCTGATAGAGCCTAGTTTATGGCTTGTCTAGTCTGGACTACTTGAGAATCGTTGCGTTGCATATTGTTGTGATATGAGGCTGGTGCAGATCAGGAACCAAGCCGCACCGTCGGAATTAACACCGAAGTATCTATACAGATGACCAAGTTGATTGGAAATCAACTTGGCTAATTGTTGTATATATAGGCTCATGTATCCCTCTGAAATAATAAGACAATTAAAACCTCTGAACAACAACACATATAATATGATGCCACCGCCCCCAACTACTGTATGTCTTAGATAACCAAGGGCACTAGGAGTTGAAATTATGGGGACAGGAAAAGCTATGAGGTGCGCGATTTTTTCTAGCATACGGAGTACAGGGATTATAACAGGTTGGCGGAGAATTTGATCCGTAGTGAGAGGGCTACATAGCACCGGTTTTCTCCACAAACTTTGGACCACATCTGATTGGTCGAAATGACCCTTTAACGACCCACCTCGTTCCTTAAGTCAGCCTCCAGTTCGTCTCTCTTCTCTTACCTCCCTCTTATCATCCATCTATCTTCCCATATATTCACAATGCCAGTCAACACTCGCCTCCCAAATATCCCCAAGGATGATGAGCGCCCCCGAATACCATTTAATATATACTACACAATCCCACATTTCAAATTATTCTACTACTCTTACGTCTTCTTTGGATCATTCAGTCTTGCCTGGATAGCCGATTATCTCCCAACAATCGGCAAAATATGTCTTTGGACCGGGTTCGCCATAACATGCGGATTAATAATCGCCATACACCCATCGATCCACACCGAGCGGATGAGATTAGATGAGATGGGAAAATCAGTTCGAGTACGTCGTCCGCTGATCGGTTTCAAAAGATGGGAGATCCCTTTGGATGTGGACGGCATTAATGATGGGCTGTATGATGATCCGGATGGCAACACGGACGAAAGACTTCATGATGGGTGTCGGTATGGGTATGCTTGGATTCGTATATAGAGTGATTTTGGGGGGATCTGGTTACTACTCCATATCAGATGATTAGATCTGGATTGTTTAGCGCTTGCGATTTTGCAACATTTGATTAGTGGGCGTTTGCTATTAGTATATATGACGATTCCTTAAATGGGGGTCCTGCTTCACTTTGTCAGCCTGTAAATAATCTGCTTACTCCTAGGAACTGGCGAGATTTGCTTAAAAACTGCCCAGCCAGGCAGAAACAAACATCACGCCGAACAGCAAACGTAAGGGTTGGACTGGGTTTAGAGTAGACACTAGAGACAGTGACCAGCCTCAATATTGGCAATGATCCCTACACTGATACCCAGCTGAACTTTGCCTATCAATCTGCCACCGACCATAATATGAAGGTGTTCATCTCCTTCGACTTCAACTGGTACAATACCAACCAAACTAGTGAGATTGGTGCCAAGAATAGGCAGTTTTCAAGTCACTCTGCACAGCTCAGGGTCGATGGCAAAGTATTTGTATCATCCTTTTCTGGCGACAGGATCTATTGCAGCGAAATGAGATCCGCTGCAGGCGGCGATATTTTTTTAGCGCCTAATTACCATCCTGGTCAGGGTAATTTTAATGATATTGATGGTGCCTTGAACTGGATGGGGTGGGAAAGTGACGGGTACAACAGGGCCCCGACTGCTGAGCGGAAGGTGTCTGTTATCGATGGTGATACGGCGTACAAGGTGGCGCTAGGCGGGAAGCCTTACATTGCGCGTAAGTGACTGTTCATATCACACTTTAGAGATGTTTACTGACTAACAGCCATCTCCCCCTGGTTCTCGACGCATTTTGGCGACGACGTCTCCTACAACAAGAACCGGGTCTTCCCTTCCAACCTCCTCTGGTACAGTCGATGGAGAGAAATCCTCACAACCAAGCCCCGTTTCGTGGAAATTATCACCTGGAACGACTATGGCGAGTCGCACTACATCGGACCGCTCTCATCACCTCACACCGACGACGGCTCATCAAAATGGGTGACGGACATGTAAAGAACTAATCCCAGACAAGGCTATTCAGGCAAAGCACTGACAAGGAATAGGCCACACAATGGCTGGTTAGACATGGCTAAACCCTTCATATCAGCCTACAAAGCTGGCTCAACGCTCCCATCAAACTACCTCGAGGAAGAAAAACTAATATACTGGTATTGGCCAACCCCCAAATCAACAAACTGCGATGCAACCATACAAAGCGCCAACAAGGCCAGTGATAGCTTCTTCGCCGCCTTCGGCCGCCCAGATGGGGCAAACACAATGCAAGACTCCATCTTCGTGGTCACGCAGCTAAAGCAGCCAGCACTGGTGGAAGTGACCTCGGGCATGAACATGCAGACATTTCATGCACCGGCAGGGATACGAGCGTGGACAGTGCCAATGGGCGTGGGTGCCCAGACGTTCCATGTCAAGAGGGACGGGCGGATGGTCGATGAGCTGTCTGGGACTAGTCTAAGGGATATTGCCGACGAGTGTGTCTGTGGTATATACAATTTCAATGCTTATGTTGGGACGCTGCCTGCTGATGGGGAGATTGATGGGCTAGCGCCGGATGGGAGGGCGCTTTTAAAGCAGGGATTGAGGGTGCCTTGCCCACTAATACACTGAGGGATCGCCATCCACCTAGTCTTTCTTGTAATGCTTCTCCCTGTCCGTGTCCGAGTGGGTGTCGTACGTGTTGAGGCATGGTATATGCCGGAAGTAGACCTATGGGGTGAACATGGGCAATTCTATAGATTCTAGCATTCAGCATATGCAATTGACTTAACTTCGTGTTATTGTCTTGTATGTTCCACCTCTTATTGAAAATTGGGAAGGGGACCCTTCAATGCCTCTATCGTCTCACCCACCCTTACTTTGTTACCCCTTTACCGTTTGGATTGTTGGGAACATATGAAGTCCTTTTGTAGTTCTGCCCGGTTTAATCAGCAGGCCATTCACGATAAGAACATTTGATCCTTATGACCCCGATTCTAAATACCGCAGTTTCAGCTTTAGCAATGGCTCGTATTAAAGTGTCTTTTCATGAGAAAATGACATGGCTCAATGTTATCAGCGTAGGATGCTACCTCACTTTCACGAACTATTCATCTACCGTTCAATGTAACAGATTGATCCTAAAAGGCAACAAATCTGCTTTCTATCCCCTCACACGCCCCCAAAACAAATGCCACCAGCCCCAAGCACGAGGGTGGTTATTTGCGTAGCTACCACTGGAGCTATGCCTTATAAACTAGGAATACGTGTCATCCAGCTCTTAATCGCTTGTTGCCAAAACTTGCTCGGTATGTGCAGCAAAGGTATCTGGAACCGTGCGTGCTATCCATGAGGCTTGTATATACGCTTCAAATTAAGAAATATATGGAGTTCGGTAAAAGCTGTGACCATCGTTTGAGGTCCACCTGCCACATTCGGGCATGATTTTGTTATATGATTGGCGAAACCGCAAGTAATGATCTGAACCTATGTGAACCACAGCAGCTATGATATAGATATATCCTGGTGTGACGCATATTGCTCGGTTGTACCTTGTCGTGATTAATCAAAGATGACATCTCCCGTCGAAAAGACATTTTCTGAGAGCTCCTTGCACGAGTGAGCTGAAGCGGCGCTCATTTTGCTCGTTCAATCTCTTGACGGCTTCCGGTAACAACAGCAGTCTTCTTCTCATTTTCAGTGGATAGCATCTGCAAAGATAAACCTGTGCCTTGGGTCGACAATCCAATTGTTGGGAGTACTCATCCAAGTCATCTAAAAGGGTTCCAAAACATGTTTTGAAATTTTCCATATCTTGGGCACATTGAGAATCTCCAAGAACTCTTGCGAAGGCAATAGCGATGTCAAGTTTTTCGCGAAGGTATTGCCGGTTTTGCGCAACTCGGTGAACTGCAGCATGCCGGATACCGGTGATCTTACGCTTCCACCTCATGATTCCTTTTGAGCCCAAGGCACCTGGGCGCCTCTCCAGTATTTGAAAGAATTTGGGCAACTCCATCTCCTCCGGGCACACCCATCCAAGTGGTTGGCACGTTTGCTTTGAAAATCGCTGGAGAAATGCAAAACCACATTGCTCTAACCGATACTGCAAGGCTTTCAAAATATAGTTTTGGGCCCGAAAAGGTACATTGGGCGATCGCAGATTTCCAGACTCGGAAGTGAGCTGTCGGAATCCTTTTGTACTTGAATTAATCCCGAAGGTCTATGCAAGCAAAGTTCGAACTTACTATACTCTGCTTTTGGGATTAAGGTGGCTTGCTTTAGCCTTGATCGTCAGGGGCGAGTCTTCATGAGGTATGCATAGGTCTTAGTGATGCTTTTCAAGGGGGAAAAAATCCTGTTGGAAGCTCTTATTTTTGAATTTTAGAAACTGTTCACTCCCAAAGTCTATGGATTACTACAGCTTTATATATCACTGAAATGTTACAATTCTGGTCATTTCAGTGCAGATTGACTTTCGAAAGACCGCAGTTATGTGCTTGGCACATAAGCCACGGGCCGCCCTTTGGATCATCAGCTCTTTCCTAACGCACGGAATTTACGGCTCACACAATCCAAAGAAGTAAGTTACTGGTACGAATTTTTTAAAGCTAAACCGGTGAGTTCGCAACCGGCCAACATGACGTTCAGGGTCCTCTGGTGCTGTACAGACCAATGGCTGTTTTGCCCAAAATGCACTAGCTAAGGTATTGAAATTAACCGGCTAGCTCTCATAGTATGGCGATTGGAAAATGTTCCCGGGGAGGAGGAGTATTGTTGGTCTGTGTATCTAGCATCTGTTTACATGTAGCTCTCCGTACTCCACAATTGCAGTTCTTTCCATGTCGTACTAAGTAAACAAGGAAATGACAGAAGTATGCCATAGCTGGTACGTAACTGCAGCTGGATCGAATGACATGAGTCCCGATTCAGAATTCTGCGTATGATAAGGAAGCGTTGAGCTCCAATCCTGGACTTAGGCACGTCACACTTTCTAAGGGCATGGGTATCGTCCATTTCGGCAAATAAACTGTAATAAAATAACTGCTCTTAAGTTAAGTTTAAAAGCAAAAATAAATTCTATTCTTGAGGGCGGAGGAATGATGCGGTTGCTGTGTGAAAGACCTTTGATGGTGGCAGATCACATCCCCTCTTCTTGTATTCTACCGTCGACCGGGGGTTATAAATTCTGGCCTACCTGCTATCAAAACCCCTGGCCAGGCAACGCGATTACTCGAGACACCATCGATCCCGATATCCACTATGGGACCATCGTATCCGGCAACACACTCGCCAAAGACGCTGCTTCTCGCGATCGGATTGTTGCCGACCTCGACGAGGATTGCATCTGCTTTGAGATGGAAGCAGCCGGGCTGATGAACCACTTTCCCTGTCTTGCGGTCCGAGGGATCTGCGACTACACCGATTCTCACAAGAACGATCGATGGCAACGCTACGCCTCGGCGACCGCCGCTGCGTATACAAAGGAGCTTCTGGCGTACGTGCCGGCTGCAGAGGTCAAAGAGACCAAGAGGGCACTGGAAGTGCTTCAGCTAGGTTAGATCTTGTTTCATTCACTAGCTAGACTAGCAAGTACACGAGACCGCATTACATTGAGATTGGCATACGTCCTGACTGCGAGTAGTTAAACGACAGATTAATAGCGTGCAGCAGACGACAGTTGCAACGAAAGCTGTAACTGATTCCATCAGGTCTGATCTTCGCACCGATGAGATCGGGCGCTGGCTTTTGTCACCCGGATCCGTCTATAAATGCCAACCACGCGAGGACACTCCGCCATGAGGGGACTGGCGCGGTGGATCCTGGAAAACCCCGTCTTCAAGTCGTGGCACTCGCGGTCGCGTCGACATTTATGGCTGCACGGGCTTGCGGGATGTGGAAAGACGGTTCTCAGTTCGACTGTGCTTGATCATGTCGCGAAGGAAACCAACGGTCTAATCATCAGCTTCTTCTTTGACTTTAGCAACTCTGCAAAACAGACATTGGATAGCATGCTGCGGTCGCTTGCTTTCCAGCTTTACCAAGGCGGGGTCGGCTCTGCCATTCATCTTGACGCATTGTAGCTTATGATCATGTATCGATACGGTGTTGTTGTTGGGTTTGAAAAATTGAGGCGATCATACGCAGCAGTCAGGAAATGGCGACTGGGAATTCAGGCTCTGGATTGATCGCACGCTGGTAACAAGGTGGGTCGTGAACAAACCCCAGTTACCGAACCTGTCTGGTGAGTTGGTTTCAGACTCTCACCGTCCATATCAGTCAAAGGCTTTGAACACCAGCAAGCCCCGCATCCCTTCGCCTTTTGCTTTGAAAAATGTCGTTCTCTCGCGATCAGCGGGACAGGAAGCGCTTCGGAGCCCAGTTCCCCAACAATTGGCCTAAGCAGGACGTTGTCTGAATTCTGTCAGTTGCTTTCTTTACCAGAAGCAATTGACTTCAACAGCTGGTTATCAAAAACCAGACATAAAAAGCTCGAAACGGACAAATCTAATAGCTTAGGCGGGGATCTTCCAAACCAGGTATCAAGCTTGTCAGAGAAAGCATCCCATGAACTGGAAGAATATGAGCGCTGTTTTGATCAGACGCGTCGGCAGAAGATGCAAGTCTGTACGTTGTTCCACTCGGGTTTGCATTGATTGGTCAGCAAGATCCAGATAGAACAACATCAATGCATCTCAATGGGACACCTCAATACTAGCACATACCAGTATCTGTCAATCCGACAGTTATGAGCCCGGTTGCCCGTTGCAATATCCATTAAGATATATCAGACCTCTCTGCTCTGTATCTTAGCGACGTGTATAATATTCCGCAGTGCCGGATACCCCTGAATAGCTCGGATACCTCTGAATCGCCCGGTTACCCCTGAACGGCACATGCGAGCGTTGCCAACGACCGATTGCGAACAGGACGATAAAGTACAATAAGGGAAAGCAGTATAAGGATGTCAGAAGGCCTCTACTCAGAAGAACTGAGGGCAGTGCCTCAGGACCAGCGACTACGGTCGGAAAGTCAATGGAGAGTCTGGATCGGCCACATACGCTCAGCAGCTATCTCTGAAGATGTGTGGGACTATCTGAATCCAGATCTTGCAGAAGAGAGCGTACGACAGGTTCCCGAGGCCGCCCGAGAGCCTCAACCTAGCAGTATTCGCGAAGATGTGGAGGATGAGTTTGAACTCACAGAGAAGGAATTTACCCAGTGGACTCGACGCATTCAAGCCTATGATAGGCGTGAGGCTCAACGGGTGCGCCTGCTGAAGGTGATGGCACGCATGAACAGCCTAATCACACGTTCTCTCGCAACCGAGTATCACTATCTCACAGTCGATGAGGTTTCGCCGTATCAGAAGCTTGTCAGGCTAGCTCGTGAATTCAAGCCAAAGCCAGAGACCCGGACCGAAGAGCTTCGAGCTGCGTGGAGGGCCATGATCAAACAACCAACGAATAACGTCAATACAGATCACTGGCTCACTCAGTGGACGAGTCTATATGAGGAAGCAAAGTGTGCAGATGTGCCTGATGTGGTATACAGTGTCAAATACGCTATCCGAGACTTCCTGCGCGCTATTCAGCCTATAGATGACGTATTCTGTACCACGTGGCAGGAGAAAATCCTCATACACGATATATCCTTCCACGACGTTATCTCCGCATACCGAACACGCCGTAAGGCTCTTGGACAGTCAGCGAAGAAGGGATCGTCGAAGGTTGCACTTGCCACGCTAGATGGTCAGCATGAGGCTAAACCTGGTCAAAATAAGTCAAAGCCAGCGGAGAAAACGTACCGTACACGGTGCCTGTGTGGTAATGGTGCCCATACGTATCAGCAGTGCTATTATCTCAACAAATCGCAGAGGCCAGAAGGCTGGAACCCGAACGAAGCTATAGAGAAGAAGATCCCTGAATTCATCAAGAGGATGAGCCCCCAGGACCAGGAAGCCATCGCAAAGCTTACCAAGGTCGAATCAGCTCAGTTTGCAGCCTCAGAAGATCAGCAGTCGTCCGAACAGATTATCTCTATGTTTTCGCATAATCTTGCGGTACAAGCGGCGCAAGAGGGTGATGAGTTTCCGCTAAAGGATAGCTGGATCGTCGATACTGGCGCGAATACTCACATCAGCAACGATCGTGACAGATTCATCTCATTCACTCCTGCTGACTACACTGTCATCACCGGAGACGCTTCTACAAGAATCCAGGGCTTTGGAACGGTCAGACTGAACCTCACAGACCCCAAGACCGGAAAGATCTCTATCGGAGAGGTCTCGGACGTACGGTATTCGCCAGGATTCCACACGAACCTACTTTCGGCGTCGAGACTGAAGAGCAAGGGATTCATCATGAATATCGAGTTACTGGCACTCGTTCGCCGCGGTCAGCCTATTGCAAAGCTAGAGGAGAAATGTGGGCTATACGTACTCGAATACCGGCCAATTCCGGCTGGATTCGCTACAATCAAGCATTCAGAAAAACCATTAATATCCTCAGCCACCGCCGAGCGTTGGCATCAACGCCTAGGTCATGATCAACGTATCGAGAAACTTGCAGAACTCGTTGATGGAATCAAGATCATTGGTCAGCATGTCGATGATGCTGCCGGCAATCCTGAGAGATGTGAAGTCTGTCAAATGACTAGCGCAAAGCGCCAAATCTCGAGAAGAGCTCATGGAACCAAGTACGGCAGATATGGTCGAATTCACTTTGACCTTGTGCAGATAGAGACAGCATACAACGATGATAAGTGGATGACACACTTCTACCTCGAAGGGATACGCCTACATGCCGCCTCAACACACCAGAAGAAGAGTGGTTGTCAGGATGCAGTCAAGAATTTTGTCGCGTTTGCAATAACACAATTGAAGTTGCCAATTCGAGTCTTCCGCTATGACAACGAGCGCGCTGCCGGCCGCACGGTAGAAGACTTCCTCCGTGAATGTGGCTTCATCGTGGAACACAGTGTGGTGGGCACACCAGAGATGAACAGCTTCGGTGAACGATCTGGGGGGGTGATAATTGCGAGGGCACGAGCCTTACTGTTGGAAGCAGGCTTGCCGAAGGCTCTCTGGCCAGAAGCTGTTAAAGCAGCTGTATACATCATCAACAGATCGCCCACTAAGCTTCCAAACGGTCAGTGGATTATTCCGTACGCTGAGGCAACAGGAATCGATCACATGCAGCCAAAACAACGCATCAACCTCTCAAATCTGCGGTTATACGGATGCCGCGCTTACGTGCGCCGCCAAGATATTCCAAAGAGCCACAAGATGGAGCCGCGCGCGGATATCGGATATCTAGTAGGCTACACAGCCTCGAACATCTGGCGAGTGTGGTTTCCGCACAGAGGAGCCGTGCGAGAAGTCAGGGACGTAGTATTCGACGAGAATCTACGATATGACCCCAAAGAACTAGTAAAGCCACCCATTAGCGACGTAATCGAAGCTATGCCATGGGAAATCGGTGAAGATGAGCATGAGGACATCGAGCAGCTCACACAGCGTGTCAGCCAGCCAGAAACAAACGAGCCAGCTAGTGAAAGCACTCAGCAGTCACCAGAAGCTATACCGGACGTTCAACGCCAAGAAAATGCCTTTGAACCACCGAAATCACCAGGCCAACCTCAGCAGACGGTCACGCCGTCTCTAACACCCTCGGCAGAGCCACAGCTTCTGCCGGCGCCTCAGGCGCAGCAACCATCTCAAGGAGCATTTCCCGGGGATCGAGGGCCCGCACAACATGCGACAGCACGTCCAAGAGCACCAAGAGATATTGTGGGAGATGTATCGGACCAAAACATCGTCTCTGGAGCACGGAAGAGGAAACCAGTGGACCAGGCATTTACCGCCGCGCTAGAAGAGCCAGAGGACTATCATGAAGGTGTGTTAGCAGCGTTCGCAACAGGACTAAACGCTCCTCACCTTCATAACCTCGTGCACCGCGATGATCTGCCTTCAGAGCCTCAGAACTGGAAGGAAATGATCAATCATCAATATCACAAGGGATTTCTTGCTGCTGCAGGCCTTGAAATTGACACACTCACTCGTAAAAACACCTTCGAGGTAGTACAGCGTCCAACGGACCGCAGTATTCAGATCCTACCTCTCAAATGGGTCTTCACCTACAAGTTTGATAGCAATGGGTTCCTGAGCAAGCTGAAAGCGAGACTATGCGTGCGAGGAGATCTCCAGCGGATGACGGCAGAAGAAAAGTACTCAGCGACTCTCGCAGCGCGAACCGCGCGTGCTGTATTCGCCCTAGTTGCTGCATTCGATCTGGACACATATCAATATGATGCTGTCAACGCATTCCTCAATAGCCTACTAGATGAGGTTGTATACGTCTCATTACCACCAGGGTTTGAGAAAGATGGTAAGGCCAAGTGCTGGAAGCTTCTTAGAGCTCTATACGGCCTACGAAAATCTCCACGCCTATGGCAACGAGAAGCGTCTAAGATCTTCACATCTCTAGGCTTGCAGGTAGTGCAGGAAGATATTTGCCTCTTCGCAGCGGACGGCATCATGGTGTTCTTCTATGTTGACGATATCATCATTGTAAATCATTCTTCAAAGCATGCAGCAGCCAAACATCTGAGAGAAGAGCTCAACAGACACTGGGAGCTTCGAGATATGGGAGAGGCGCAGTGGTTCCTCGGGATACGCATTATCCGTGACAGACAACAGATGGCCCTATGGCTCTGTCAGGATTCATATATATCCTCGATGGCTCACCGTTACCATCTTACTGGATCTCGCAGATATGATACACCACTCCCTAGTACCCCACTCAAGCCATTTGACGGCCAGGCGACGCCTCAACAGATTCACGAGTACCAGGAGAAGGTTGGCTCAGCTCAATATGCAACGACGATCACTAGACCGGACTCAGCGAAAGCGACGGCTACACTGGCTCAATTCCTCACAAACCCCGGTCCTCAGCACCTTGATGCAATCAATAGAGTCATCTCGTACCTTGACAGCACTCGGACATCGGCGATCGCGTACAGAGCGCGTGATCGATCACAGAAAAATTGTCAGATACCGGAGGCCGTTCAGTTCTTTAGTGACGCCTCATTCGCTGATAATCCCGATCGAAAAAGCTCTGAAGGATACACATGTATGATGTTTGGAGGACCTGTCGATTGGAAAGCTAGCAAGCAGCGTACGGTGACTACCAGTACAACCGAAGCTGAGCTCCTTGCGGTTTCAGAAGCTGCCAGGACCGTGGCCATGTGGAAACGGCTATTCAAAGCAATACGCTTCGATCCTGAGCATGAGCTAAACATCAAATGCGACAATCAGCAGACTATCGGGATCCTCGAAAAAGAAACACCTCAACTGCGCACGAAGCTCCGTCATGTTGACATACACCAGCACTGGCTCCGGCAGGAGGTTCAGAGCAAGCGCATCACCGTACACTGGGTGAAAACCGCCGATATGGTAGCTGATGGTCTCACAAAGCTACTACCCTGCCAAAAGCATCTCGAATTCATGCAATCGATGGGTATGGAAGATATACGGCAACATCTGGTGGTGGGCGAGGTCTAACGCACACATCTGCAAGAGCAGAAAGGGCACTCGCTGAGGGGGTGTGTCGAACTGAGGGGTGGTATTTTACCACTAAGAACAGGGATATTCATCAAGTACCCATTCTGTCTCTGTCTCTGTATGGTAAACGGGGTACGCTCGGCATACCAGCGTCGTAACACGCTAGGAACGACTCCTGAGATCTGTTAACGCTTCAACAGCAAGATCCAGATAGAACAACATCAATGCATCTCAATGGGACACCTCAATACTAGCACATACCAGTATCTGTCAATCCGACATATTATCTTCCACCACGAGGACACGTCGAAGATTCGTATTAGCTTTCCCGCCAATTGCGGCGGACCCTTTTGGGCTTTTCGAAGTTCTGTCCACATTGGGATCATCGTGCAGGACTTCGTGCTCGCTCGCAGAAGGCTCATTAGTCTTGGCTTGGTGAGCTATCTCCAACGTATGCATGTATTTGTCGTCACTCGCAGCCCCTGGTGCTATTTCCGCAATGTGAGTGACAACGGGATTCTCTGGTATTTCAGGAGACTTCGTCCGGTCATTGTCCCCGATAACCTTGTTGCTCAGCGCTTGGATCCCACCACATAACTGATCAATTTCGGATTTGTCGTAATTAGGTAGAACGGGATTATATGGCTCATCATCCCGCCGGACTTTGAAGAAGAAACCAAACGTGCTTCCCTCAGCTTCCTTTGAGCTTGCGCCGATTTCTCCACCATGAAGGTGGCAAATTTTTCTGCTCACATTTAGGCCAAGACCAGAGCCACCATAAACGCTTTCAGTTCTGGGTGTCGCTTGGTTAAAGCGCTCAAATAGTCGCTTTTGATCTTGGTCACTAATACCAATCCCGGTATCCTCCCCACAAACCAAAAGGGCTGACAAGTCGATAGCTTAGACGCGCAGGCAGTATATTCCTCTTGGTTGCATTTACAATTGCGCACTCCCTCGAACGTCCCCGGACAGATGGAGCTCTCCCTCGAGATTTTGCTGGTCGAAGCAGCGACTCATATATTGCTACGCTGGGGGGCAGCGGGGAAGGATGGCCTTCGGTGAGCCAATGGATTCCGTTTATGGAGATGTAGGTGGAAAATTTATTTTTTAGAACAATTGTCTGAATGCAAATGGCTGAGATTGGATAGGTCCCAGAATAATAAGGCCATCATAAAGGCTGGCTGTGTGCAATTTGGCGCCAATAAAGTCTCGGATGAGGAAATGTCTGATCTTTTATCAAGTATTCAGTCCGTAGCTACGTCTAGCGGCGTGGACGCGCGCTTAATTCTTGCGATTGTATTACAGGAAAGTAACGGCTGTGTTCGAGTAGGAACCACCAACAATGGCGTGAGCAACCCAGGTCTCATGCAGAGCCATGGCGGCATTGGCTCTTGCGGTAACAACAAAAAGTCCCCTTGCCCCAAAAGCATAATTCTACAGATGATTAAAGACGGCACGGAAGGCACATCCTCAGGAGATGGCCTTAAACAATGCTTGGTCAAGAATGGTGGAAGTGGAGCGACCGCCTACTATCGGGCCGCTCGCTGCTACAATTCGGGTTCGGTTGCCACATCTGGAAACTTGGGACAGGGTGGTTCGACGCACTGTTATGCCTCGGATGTAGCGAACCGCCTTCTGGGATGGTCATCAGGACCGAGTACATGCAATGAGGCCACGGTTGGCAGTCTCAGTGATACCCAGTCAGCTGGTAGCTCATCTATCGACGTAACATCTTTGTTCAAACCTACTTCTGTCCCCGCCAAGAAATTTACTCACTCTACTTTGTCTTCCTTAGTTACCACTCAGTACTTCTCTAATATTGCCCAATGGGAGCCATCCACAGCGTCAACGGGCAAGCACTTCTCTACATCGTGCTCGTGGCCCAGTTCCATCACTACAGCCGCGGTCTACCCATATACCATCGCGACCTGCCTTCAGTATGCTACTGTTGGCTCCGACGACTACTGTCAGAAGATTGAGACAGCGTATGGCATCTCAGCAGTTCAGCTCAGAGACTGGAATCCAGGCTTGGACGAGGCTTGCACGAATCTTTGGTGTGGATATAGATACTGCGTAAAAGCCTAGAGGGCCATGTCAATGCATCATGCATGATTATACCTCAATGAGTTGGATCCTAAACCATATAACACACTAGGCTGAGTGCGGATTCGTATTTTAGTCCAGTTGGGAAATCAACTCAATGACGAAATGGAACGGCGAGTGCAGAGGAGACTTTGGGTGGGATTGGGCATGCGTCAAGTGTGAACGTGTTCTATATCTTGTTTTTTAGAAATATTTCGAAGCAATATCAATCATCTCTTGGAGGACAAGACGTGTCCAGCGAAAATCTCAGAGGTAAACATTTATGTCCGGTGTGATAGTGACAAAGCAGCCTGATATTCCTCGATTTAGATATCATGACGCTTGCTTTCTATCACTACTAACCCATGGCTGAGCCATGTGACTTAAATTTGCAACGGGGCTGCCTACGCAAGAGGGCCAAATGTGGCGTGTCGCCGAAAGGGACCAGAGTTTACCCTAAAATTGTGTGGTTTAACGTTAGGTCTCAATGGGGATTTAATAGGAGCATCCATAGCGTGTAATAAAAAAAAATAACAAAAAAGCAAGTATGGCCAAGTTGAGACTGGACAAAAATGTTGATAAAGTAGCTATCTCCCCTAGAATTTCCCAGCGTTATGCGCAGACTCATGAGCTTCACGTGGTCTTAACGATTCCAGCTTAGCTATGCCTCAGTACAAAAATTGTGGATTTTGTTACTCTTCCGAGATGAAGACATCACTATTGCTTGCACTTGATACATTGGCACATAAAAGATTGTCTATGTAGGTCGCAATATTACCTTGACTGGGAATGCAATTTAGCCGTCTGATGTGAATGACCCAGCAGATGTAGTTTTCCACACACTTCTACATGAGGTTACCATTTACTGACTTGATGATGAACAGGGGCAGATTTGAAAAGCAGAATGGGTATTACGTATTGTTTTAGGGGATTACTTCATCGGCCGTCAGGCGGTCTGCTGCATGAAACTGGCTTTGCTGAACCGCTTACATAGGTCACTGTTGTCCATTGGCAAATGTGTCCTTCTTGCAGTTTCTGTACCTCATTGTGCTTGCCTTCTGCCTACCCTTTTGATCCAGGCTTCAAGCGCTTGCTCTAGAGAGTTGCCCGGAAACTGTTTGAAATTTTTATTTTGGAAGTCACACAATCGATTCAAAAGATTATACAAGGTTACTACATTAGATAGTAGAGTGTTGTAATAAGCTATATAAGATAAATCATCAAAAGTCTCCAAAAGGAGAATAACAATGAGTCAAAATTATCCTTTACTAATCATCTCTCATGCTTGCAAGACACACCATTGTTATCTATGGAGATTTGGACTCATTACTGGCTCATGTTCAATAACACAATTCATATATTATACACCTGGTGCATTGGAAGTAATTAATTTTTCCGATGAAATTAGCTTGTGGACCCTGGCACTTACCACTCTCATCACTATCACCTTAATGAAGTTTGAAGCTTCTTTAGCACGACTGAAAACATTGCCAAACAATGCGAAAATTTGTACAAAAGAATTTTCTAAAGCCCATCCATACAGTACTCGCCGAGCTTCGCGGCTCAGTCTACCGCCAAAAGCCCCTTACTTCTGATACGCCACGCTACCTATTGGTCGAGTACTTCATTTTCTAAAAGCAATCCACAATTATCAGCAGCCAGCATTGCTGGGAACTAGCACGACATGGGAGGTATATCACAATATCCGACGTGGAAGTGTGCTATGGAATGCGTCGTGGCCAAGGCTAGAGCCTATAGAGACACTTAGAATGGACAGCTATACTTGGGCTGACATGGGGACCAGGAGGAGCCGCCGCGGACGGGATGACTGTCAATATTCGTAATCAGTTGTAACATCATTATCTATATTGTAAAAAGAGATCCCCAACATAAAATTGAACACTTACCTAGACTTCCGCAGAACCCATTTTGGGCCGAAGGTTCCGACCCAGAACCCAACCCGGGCCCAGCACTGGGCCCCCAGTAAACCCAGTTTGGACCCAACTCGACCCAACTTTTGCATAATTTCAATCATAAAGCTGCTCAGTCATCAAGATAACTTACTGTTTTTTACATCGGTTTTGGTCTATACCTTGAACTACCATACTTTTCTAGTATAACTGGAGTGTGTTGAAGACTATAAACGCGTAAAATTAGCCTTAAATAAATAGTTATGGTCCTTTGGGCTTATAAAGGTTAGACTTTACTGTGGTTTTCACAGTGTTTGACTTGTGGCCTCTTTTATGGACCTCATGTTAGATATACGTGGATGAGTTCTGTAGGCGACGCCATGGGTTTTCTGACGGCCGTCAGAATTATAGGCTTTTTAGCCAGATAATTAGCCTTTTAAGTCTTAACGGCTGTCAGAAATTATTAAATTGAGGTTCATTTCATTATAGCACTGATCTTTTGACAGCTGTCAGAAATTATGGTGTAGATATGTATTGATATATATTCACGACATATAGTGTCGGATTGACAGATACTGGTATGTGCTAGTATTGAGGTGTCCCATTGAGATGCATTGATGTTCTATCTGGATCTTGCTGTTGAAGCGTTCACAGATCTCAGGAGTCGTTCCTAGCGTGTTACGACGCTGGTATGCCGAGCGTATCCCGTTTACCATACAGAGACAGAGACAGAATTGGTACTTGATGAATATCCCTGTTCTTAGTGGTAAAATACCACCCCTCAGTTCGACATTATACTCTCAATTTCTTCGGAGTAATTGCGGATTATCAGTATCTCACAATAGATAGTTCGCTCATGTTACCGTGCGCGGTAGAAGCCACTTTTTTGGGACTACTGCTCGAGAATCTCCTGGTGCAAACAGACTCTTTGTGTTGACTTAAGTCTTGATAGGATCTACTAGTCAGCTTTTTCGCCTAGGCTGCCAAACGGTTGATCACGTGCTGAGGGGTGATTTGATAATTTGGTGGGGATAATCTGGTGGGCCTACGGGTCACAAAGATCAAGAGTGAGTCCCCGCACTGACTCAGTAAACCACCCCTTGTTTCGTGATACTCTCAACACTTAAAAGAAAAAAGCCAAACAACACTGGATCATGCTTCTGAAACACTTTTACTGCACACGCTGCAAAATCAGCTTTAGAAGCTTCTTCGCCAGGCTGCAGCACGTCTACGACTCTCGATGTCATAATGTCTGCTATATCTGTTACCCACCACAAGATTTCGTCAAAATGGTTGAGCTTGATGAGCACCTTGGCATCGAACACAACTTCTGTATCTCCTGCGACATTCAATTTGAAACAGCGAACAAGCTGGCTCAGCACGATACAGCAGAGCACAACATGTGTGTCACCTGTCGGCAATTTTTCAATTCTCCATCAAGTTTATCTAATGTTAGTTTGTAAAGCCATCAGTGAGCGTGAAGGATACGCTGAAATCTAGTGACTAGGTGGCAATCTGTGCGGAAATAAGCGTGCCTGTATGCTCATTGGCCATGATCTACGAGCGATGACGTAACCACTCTTATCCACTATTTACAAACGAATGGTGAGCCTAGTTCCTTCAACCTATACAGTACCATGTGCCGGGGTAGTGGCTTTTGCTATTCTTGTTGAACAGCCCATGTACGGTGGCTGTATATCATACAGTGAACAATGCAACGTGAAGTATGAGCGAAAGGTGATGTTGAACATGATTCTAATTACGGACGTGAGTAGCATGCAGGTACAATGCAAATTTATTCGATCAGTAATATGGCGTTGCTATAGTATAAGCCTGGTTTCAAACATCCCATTCTTCAAAAGTTAGGCCGGCATGCCGAAAATGACCTCCTCTTGCCATACTTTGATTAATACACCGCTCTAGGAAAGAGAAAAATCCCCAACCAGGGTCATCTGCACCGTAGGTCTGATTATGCCTTAGAAAGGCTTAGAAAAAAGATTTCTTAAGTAAAATCAGCTCTGGCGAGTATGGCAGCAACCGAATCGTATCAATTCCCATTTAAGCTCACATCTGTGAAAGTCGCCAAGATAGATCAAAATATTGGAATGCGGTATATCATCGAGACTTGACAAATCTTATCCGTAGATGCAGAAAACTGCTTAGGTGCTGTAAGATAGTCGTAACTAGCTCAGATCCTGCCTGCAATAATCTGATGGCTATGTTGACATTCACCGCGGAGTCTTCTGCAAACCTAGCAAATATGCCCGGATCAGCAATGTTCCGTTTAGTGACTACGGCAGCACTTCCCCTCCGGACCGCGTTCATCATTCTCGCCCTCACTTTCTTCGCCTTCACAGTCGATATCCGTGCCTACATAGCATAGGGTCACCATCCTTACTATTAGTCTTGCGACCTTTAGTCTGGGATGAGCATAAACCCATCAACCCCCTCAGCTGAATTTCCGCCAGATTATGCAAGGCAGTTATCTGCTTTAGCGGTTCGACCCTCGTTGGAGGGTTCGGAAGGGCCGGAGGGGCGTTGAATCAACAGCGACAACGCTGTCTAAATACTGTAGCATTCATGCCTCTGAGCTCTTCTCCAGCCTCGTATGCTTCCTCCTCGACACCTCTCTGCAATCCAGCACCTTCCATGCGTGGCCAGCAACGCGATGTGAGGTCAATAAATAAAAGCTTAGTCTTGCCTGCGATCGATAGTTTGAAGATCTCGGAGTCGACGCAACTGGGCTCTCCCGATTCCGGAACCAAAATATTGCCTGCTTCTTACGAGTTGGTTGACTCGCGCGACTTGGTCGTATTGATCACCAACCTGATCATGGAGTTAATCAGTATCAATGACAAAATTCCACTTCATCAGCATCGGCTGACTCGGTTTCACTCGCGATCTCCACCGCATATTTCTGTGCACGACTACCTCCGACGATTGGTCGAGCACGCTAATCTTCCGCCTTCAATTCTCCTCAGCATAGTGTATTACATTGACCTGCTCTGTGATATGTATCCTGGATTTGCCATTACCAGTTTGACAGTCCACCGCTTTTTGATTGCCAGCGCAATGGTCGCTAGCAAAGCCTTGAATGACACCTTTTGGACCAACCAGACGTACGCTCGGATAGGCGGAGTTAGTCCAACGGAACTTGCCATGCTAGAGCTTGAATTTCTTTTTCGGGTGAAATGGCAAATCGTTCCCAACCCGGAAAGCCTAATTAATTACTACCATTCTCTGGTTGAACGCTGCGGCGACTTCGAGATTGAACACCCGGCGCTGTGACCTAGTTACCCAACGACGCTATATCTCCATCGACTTGGACTTGGACGGGAGGCTGAACTTAATTGAAACAAACTTGAATCAGTCATTTAATAAGAAATGTTTCTAATATCGCAACGCCCTAACGCCAGCCTAGTTCTCTCTATATTATTTCATTAAACTGTATTGCCTTCTTCACATTCTCGACCCAACCCCAAATATCTGCTGCAAAACGTCGAGCGATACCCATTTTAATTCCCTTGCCGATGAAGAATCCTAGGTCTTGATCCTTGTAGACCTGCTCAAGATTGCTGTTTGTTGCGTTTGCGTGGAATCTTCTAGGAGTTACAGGCTTCTAATTATAGGCTCTTGTATCTGTCTTACAAGCTATAATTAGGGATTGGTATTATTACGTGTAGGAACAAAACATGTTATATTCCAATATCACGTGACTAGGGTTTGAAAAAGTCTCACTGTGTCTCTAATATGGAAGGTGCACCTGGGTGAGTCTGTAACCTTCAATCAAGAATCAGCGCGCCTCTCTGCGAAACAGCTGCTTTCGAAATGCGCATCAATGATCGGCATCTTATTGATCAAGATCTTAGTTCAACAAAGCCATTTGTCAGTGCTGTTTTATGTGAGGTGAAAGGGCACCAAAACGTACCTCATATAAGGGGTGAGTCCCTCAGAACCCCTCGGATATCAAATCGCGTCTGGTGACTGGACCAGGGAAAATCAAAACTCCGCCCCGGTCGTTCGTCATATTCCTCCAGAAGTAACATCCCCCTGTGGCACATTGATAAAAAATTGACCGCGGGATTCCAGCTCTTCCGCCGTCTGGACCTGATATGGCACGTCTGCAGAATTGCATCCCGTCGTTGCAACGGCATGTGGGGTTTTCTGCCAATACACCTCGCATATCTCCGAAGCAGGAGAATTCTCCACAGTTGGAGCAAGTGTAGTATGGACGATAACCGTTGCCATTCTCATTCCATGGAAGGACATGATCTATTACAGTACTTTCAGCACAGTGGAGGCAGCGAGGTGGTCTTTGGATTGCGATATGATTCTGTTCAGGATTGGCGAAGTTCAAGGCTTGGCCGTTCATCTTCGGTAATGGTGTATCTGTACAACGCTTGGGAGGTAGAAGAATAGTTGACTTGCAGAGTATAAGCTTGTTGGTCAATGAAGGTGATCCAGAAGCGTCCAACTGTGTCAGTGTCAATTGTTAAAGGACCAGAAAAGATTGGTTTTTTTTTATTCAAGTACCTGAGAGGTAGACACTATGGACAGAGATGAGGCAAAAAGGCAGCCATGCAACGCGGCCCAAACGCGGGGTACGCTGCATGGGTCTATGTAGCTGGGAGCGGTGTATCTTGCTGGCAACCACCCTCAGGGGCGGTGTATATTCGAAGTTTGGTCTTTCGGAAATTCACGTTTTGTTCCCATTGCTCGTGCTCCGAAAACTGAGATGCATCATGGTGGCGATGTTGGCTCATCTCTCACATTAATCACGGTCCTTGTAACATACAATAACCGGTACCATCAAGTTAGGTTTAAAGCTGGTAAGAAATAAAAAGGGCAGTACAATAGCCCAGTCATACAGTGTTTGTATTTATTCGCCAAGATGACTACTCCAAGGTGGGGAAAGGAGAAGCAATGAACCAATCACATTGGATGTACACCAATTAACTGTTCCTAGACCCGTGGCCCATAGCATCAATTAGCTCGCGGGTCGTGGAACGTGGGCCCGCAACGCTCAGTATCCATTGACTCACGACCAGGTCGCCTTGCTGGCCCAGATGGTTTCATATGCATCAGGTTATCGCTTTGGCGAGGATATGGGGTAAATAAAACCATCCATCTATCCATCATACATCAAGTGCTTACGGAAGCAACTCCAACGAAGATGAGCGGCCTGCTAAGCGTCGGCTATGGTTGATTAAGATTCAAACCCCTCCCAAACAAAACATGAAAGGACGCCTAGTCTGTTTAGTTGCATCATACACTAGTTGAATATTGGAAAGCTTTGGTAACCAAATGCTTGGGATTCAATCACGCGGGCGCTTCAAGATAACAGCAACCGTGATCGACCAGCGAAACGTCGAAAGTGGGTATAATGAGAGATAGAACAAAAGATTTATAACATATACAGAATTAGATCCAAAGACCTCAGGCAGCCATGGCTGCGAGACTACCTTGAACGCCAATTGGCAGATCGAAAGCCCCACTTGACTTCTGGCTGTGGACGTAGGTCTGCATTGGACCTACGTCCACAGCCAGGAGGATTAGGGCCCAGATCACATGCTCTAAGACCTTCTGCCTAAGGCTGCAGTCCTCCCGCCACAGCTCCTCGACAATAGACATAGGCCCCTTGAGCTATAATCTCCACAGACGCCAATCATGTGATCGCAGTCATGAATGGCTTTGCAGCCAGTAATGTAGGCCTGATATTGACACCTGGCCTTCTAGGTCAGGTGTCCCTGTACTTAGATCCACATAAGCTATCCATCCCCCAAGATGTTCTACATAACGGAAAAGAGCTACATAATCACCTGCGATTTGCATGTGTCTAAGCAAAAGAGCAGTATCTTGTTACAAGAAAAACTGGCCATTTCGGGGACACTAACGAGTTTGGCCAGCCCCTTGGAGTCAGTAAATCGGCCCGATCAAGCATCTATGCAGGTTTTAATTCACCTACAAGGCCTCTTATATCAATGAAACGTCTGCAAGTATCTGATCCTTTTGTAAGGACCCACAATTTCTTGTTCAGGTGTCCGATTTATACACTCGGTCACTCCACTATTACCTGCTGCGCCAAGCCTCGCTCCCATTGGGGACGTGGACTTGGGATGTGTTTGGTTTTTCCGCTTTGACGTTTCAGAGCATCAGCGTGCGAAGCGCGCGCCACCAGTTTGTCTGGGTGAGACTTGGGAGGGGAGAGGGTGTGCTGGATCAAATACAAGCCACCTCACAAGCTTTCGGCGGAATACTTCTGTGTAGAGTGAAGGCTAACAAATTTGTAATAATTTATGGTCAGCGAGGGGCATAAGAATTGAGTCCTTTCGTTTGCCTGGTCGTAAGATAGAAGCCGACTCGTATCAGCGTCATTTAGTAAAACCGTCAGGATCTAGGATCCGATTATCAGCCAGTTGCGCGTCAGCTCTCGAGGGGCATATCCACTAGGTCTATTCAATTGCCGCCCCCTTCATTGGGCAGTAGAATTTGACCTATATCAAACTACAGGAGTGACTGCTTTCATTTATGAATATCTGCTCTGTGGGTTTTCGATACGGATCCTTATCGTGACATCATCGAAGGTACTCCAAGGTGGAGAAAGGAATCTTAGAGGACCCACCACACCTTAGATCAAATGCAGGTATCTGAACCAGGCGGTAAGGCAAACGTGTGCCTTCGCTGGGAGGCATTCCATGGTGACAATGCGACGGAGCCATGCATCACATGGCGAGTCTCTGTCAAAGCAACCAAGCACATCATGCCATTTGATCCTATCGTTCGCGCAGCTGCTCAACAGGAACAATACCATTTGCATTCGTCACCTGGAAATGCCAAAAGAGGCTTTCTCGAATCTGCTACTAACTAGTGGTCTGCCTTTGCTTTTTCAAGGAATCTTAGATGCGTTCCCTTCCAAACAAGGAAATACGAGCAAAATTGTCCAGCCAGTGACAAATTCACGCGTAATTACATCTTATCTTTTGTCCCATACTTCTAATTTACTTCCACACCCCACTCGAGGTGGGTGCCTGTCAATTTGGTTTCTTGTCTTGGCGTCGCGGAGCCGAGTCACCTGAACGGCGTGCCCCTCCTTCAGCTGAGAGCCAGACAAGAGCTTGTAATGAACTATAAAAAGGCAGGCTTATACAATCATGGCTTTAATCACTTTTATGCGTCGATAAATCATTCTGGTGTTAAATATGGAGCCCAGGTGATAATCAATTATGGCATGGCAAACTTCCATCTGCCCCCGGGCAAGTCAGGAACGGAACCGAACAAGGTCGGGATTGACTAAATAACCACTGCTAGTGCTTTGGCCACTGTCCCATTCCCGCGCGATTCAGACTTTGTCAGTCGCGACACACTGCTTGACCGGATTCGCGATAAAAGCTTGGTCCTAGGGTCGAGGATTGCGCTTGTTGGCCTTGGTGGTTATCGGAAAAAAAATAAGAGAACTCTGCAGAAGAATCGATACTTGAAGGTACGTTTGACCTCTCGCTATTTAAACTTGAGGTCTTGAAAATAAAATTTAGTTACGCTACTACGGCATCCTAATATATCTAGAAAGCTAGCCAAATAAACCATTCCCATGAATTGTGTTCGTCTTAGACTCGTCAGAAAGATATGGCTCATCAGATTCATCCTCGGTTGTGTCCTCGTCGCCTGACGAGTTGGTAGTATTCCCCTTTTTCCAACGATCCAATTGGCTTCGTTGCTTCGTAGACACGACAAAACGCTCCTCAAAGACCGACCGCACTGCAATTCTCGTGCCCTGTTTGAAGGTGCCTGGATGAGAGACAATGAATAGCACGGCGTTGTAAACCTTGTCAGTCTTTTTTTTCATCGCTAAATTCGCCACTTACTATCAGAAATAGAAATCGAAATGCCCCGTCCCGTGCTCGAGATTCATCTCCCCTTACAGCTCGATAACGCTTATACTCGAGTTCATAGTCGGTTTTGCAGGCCCTCAAATCAGCAAAAATATTGTCAATTGACTGTCCGGCAAGTACGTCAACCCCGAGGAAATCATATGTTTCACAGAGAGTGTGATACTGAGGGATATTCCTTCGCAGAGAGCGGAAACATTGCCGATAGCCTGATTCCAAGCCCCTGAGAGCAACGTTAAACAAAGCAATGTCGCCGTGAATGAATTCAGTTTTATGAGGCTGGGAAAGACGTTGAAACCTGACAAAGGCTGATAAATATGGTATTGTCGAGATGTACACATTGTGGACAGTATCCCCAATTTTGAGTGTTGTTTTGCGAAGGTTTGATTCAACCGCTTCAGTTGATCCCATTTCGTCGCCGAGTTTCGAATAAAGATCATCGGGTAACATCCTGCTCCCTTCTCTCTTCAAAACCGCAAGGCTGTCACTTCGACCGTCATATACTACGACAGCATTCCCACCTTCTCTCTCACCACTCTCATGATTCCCTTAACCAATACAACCAATTTCCAAAGGTCATTAGCATGATTTCGTTCCCATTCAGCAATCTCACGAGTGACGTCTTTGGCTTCCGGCAATCCAAACGTGCCACCATTGTGGTAGGCACGGACAAGATGTCATCTAGTGTACTTTAATTCTGTTGCTTCCCCATCCTCAACCACCGATGGCTTGTTTCAATATAAAAAGAAATGATATTGAAGACACGGGTCAGAACCGAGTTCAATTGCCGGCAGAGCCGTATGGGTATATCATTGTCTGCAGCTCTTATTAGATGTTTTGATTAATAGCTATAAGTCTCATACATCATCCTTGAAGTGATAATAGTAATAGAATTTGTACAAGAAGTGAAGTTCAGGAAAAATTTGCTTTATTGGTGATATCTCGGTGCGAGCCTTGGTCAAGGTCGCCAATGCAGGTATTTGGCGGTTCTTTGACCTGTGGTCGGTGATCTGCGGTGGCTACAGATCCCGCCCTGCGGAGATCTGCGGTGGCTACAGATCCCGCCCTGCGGAGATCCTGAGCTATCGACATCATGATACGGATTTTGGTTATCTATCCCCTCAATCTAAGGCGTGACTTGTGGAGCGTTAGTTCGCGGTTCTTATAAGACCCATGATTGAGTGCTTCTGCCCTCTCCCTCTTCAAGTACATAACTTGACATTTCATTTCGAAAGCCACGTCGCGCACGATGCCCACAATGCTTGAGCTCCCGATCACCATAAGGTCTCTGGAACCAGACACGCAATTCGTGAACCAGGCAGCTACAGTCTGGCCGAATGCTTCCCATCTCACACGCAATAACGACGGTCTCCTCCCCGCAGCCTTGGAAACAAGACAAGGCAGCAAAACGACTGTGAATCTCCCATCAAATCCTGAATCAGGGCCACCTGTGGAACCCAACAAGCAGCGGCGCGGCTCAAAGATTCAGTTGCCCCAAGACGTCACCCCAGAGAGGGCCCAGTATCTGGAACGTAATCGCGTTGCTGCAAACAGAAGCCGCCTGAAGAAGAAGCAACAGCACGAGCAAATCCAACACATTTTATGCAAAGAGACGAAAAAGCGGAAACACTCTTAGCTGAGGTCAACAAATTAAGAGAGGAAATCAGGCGGCTTAAAAACGGAGTCTTTGCGCAAGCAAGATGCGGCGACCATCAAACCAACCCGCAGCTCGCAAAAATGACGCAGAACATACTGGGGTCGAGCTTGTTGCGCCCTTCTGGTTTTGCTAGGCCAGGGAAGGCGAGTTCAGACCTGCCTAGAGCCTCTCCAGCCTTCTTAGCACGCGACACAGTGACTTGCGCTGAACTCTTTGACTGTTGCATTGATCTACCTGACATGTAACTTGGCTTTCGCTAGGCTAGAAGACATGTCTAAGAGTATATGTTCATTCAATACATGATGCACTACAATTTGAGATTAGCCATCATAATGTTCGTGGGGCTTAATTATTCGTCGACCCTAACCGAGGCAAGCGTCCCGGCAACCTGTGAACGAGACAATTGGACGAGTCTCTTTCGTTTGCGGCTGTCAAGGAGATGCATGTAGGATTAGGCTGCGGCATATCGTACGATAACGTTATCGTTATCCGCAAATTGCGGATTGCGGATAATGGATCATTATCATCATCGTCGTTGCAGATATCCGCGGATATCTTAACGATAGTTTGGATATCAGCAAACTATCCGCACTAGCATAAAATTCGCTAATATATCCTATTCTGGACCATCAGGTGATACTTATGAAGCTGACAAAACAATATCTTACATCTGAATCTTTACATGTTTGGTCATGACAGTACTCATTCCCTATTTCCTTCACTTCTCCTGAGAAATAATAAGAAACAGTATTGTATTCTTAAATAAATGTCTTCCGCATAAAAAATTGGTTTTAAGTATATAGCCAGCGAGATGTAGTCGCCTGTAATTTTATAATATTAATTAATGGGCGGTGGTTTGGCAGATATATATGTTTGATGCTGAAGGAATGTAGTACATTTTCCTATAAAGTCTTAATTCAATATCCAGATCCATCAATAGTATAGTTTTGACCTTGAAAATAGTATGGATAGATTCGTTAGTTCGCAATTCATTTATATGTTTATTTATCTCAGCATGTTTACACACAAAAGTAAGGCGCAATTTAGATTTGAAGTTTGGAACTGGCGGACTTGGCATTTTCTTTTGGTGTTGGTAACGCGGATAGTTGTTGGATAATCCGAAGATCGGCAAACTCTTTCAACCATCTTATATTCTCTACAACTGCGACAAAACCGATCCAATGATGGCGACATCTCGGATACAGTTTGTGAAATGGTGGCTAATGACTGAGTTTGGCGGCAAGAAAGAACTGCAGAAATCTATTAGATGGGATACTATACAGAAAAAGTCTGATGTTTGGAGCTCATTTGATCAGGTTGCAAATGCGCGGACTGGCGAGCCCAAGGTTATGTGCAACCGCTGTCAAAGTGTGGTTGTTCACCCAAGGTTCAATCGTTCTGGTCCCTCTCCCATGAAGAACCATCTTAATAGTGCGTACTGCACTCAGCCGCGGAAGACTACAAAGCAAAGCATAGACCAGCTTCTCCGAGAGATGGGAAGTCTATCCTAGATCTAATCTATAATGTACACTAATTTTCCTAAACTCTACCCAGCCGCGTCAATCAACAAGCACGGAGTTCAGCCAGACAACCCTCCAGAAGAAGATCCTCAAGTTTATCACGACTACCCGTCTCCCATTCCGCACTGTTGAGCACCCAGAGTTCAAAGAGCTTCTGCAATACACCAGGCTCGCCACATCAGAGCTCAATATCCCGTCCGCCCGCAGTTTGAGACGTCTTTTGGATAATGAAGTCCAGGAACAGCAACAGAGCGTGCTCAGTAAGCTTCCACCTGGAAGCTCTCTCTCTATTGCACTTGATTGCTGGACCTCTCTGTTTGGCCAGGCATTTATGGCAATCACTGGATACTTCCTCGACCAGGATTGGAATTACTGTGAAGTTCTTCTTGGATTTGAGCATATCCAGGGGTCACATACTGGGACTCAGCTAAGTGAGACTGTTATCCGAATCTTCCAAGAGCATGGTATCACCGACCGAGTATTATCAATCACAACTGATAATGCATCAAACAACAACACAATGGTTCAAGGCGTTCAAGAGATGGTTCAGTCCCAGGCTCTTCACAATACCTCTGTTCTCCGAGTACCATGCATTGTGCACGTTATACAACTTTGTCTAAAAGACCTCCTTGGAAAGATCAAAGCGAACCCAAAGAATGCAGAGGCCGAGTCAGAGTGGTCAGATGAACGTACGAAGTCGCTACAGTCCGCTCCGGGTCACGCTTCAGGAAATATCGTGGCTACTTTGAAGAAGGTAAATGTATCATGGTATATTCCGAGGATATAATTGCTAAAATACTATAGATTCGAGAGCTCGCTGTATTCATTACCGCCAGTCCTCAGCGCCGAGAGGCTTTCCGGGCGCTTCAAACAACAGAGCCCAAGCTTCTACCGATTCAAGATGTTCGTACACGCTGGAATTATACTTTCTTAATGCTCGAACGTGCCAAGAAACTACAGCGAGTCTTCAACCAATACTGTTCAACCCACCAATACGTTCAGTTTCAGCTCGGTCAAGAGGAATGGCGCCAAGTGGAGTATCTCCTTTTGGTCACAAAGCCTTTCTTTCATTACACCAAGATCTTATCCAAGACCCAAGATGTTACTGTTCATTCGGTCTTCAGCATCTATAAGGAGCTCTTTAGTCATCTTGATGATGTTACGGAGTTACTAGAACGCAAGACTGTCTCTTGGAAAAAGAGAATGCTTCAGGCACTACAGGCAGCGAAACAGAAACTCTCAAAGTACTACAGAGCGACCGACAGTGAATCATTTGGCACAGTTTACGCAATTGCAACTATTCTGTGTCCATCGAAGAAGCTTCGGTTCTTTGAAGGCGATGACTGGAAAGGGAAAAACGAGAAGGGAGAAGATATTAATTGGATGGAAACCTATCGGGATAAACTACAGAAGGAATTTGACCAATATCAACAACGCATTACCCGCCACAAGGAGCCCTCTCAAGCCCAAGTCTCTCAAGAAACGGACGAAGAGGAGCTTGATCTTATGATGGATTTGCACGCTACTTTACAAAGTGAAATTGACCGCCCGGAGGATGAGATCACACGATATCTTGCACAGGGTTTGTATACTTCCCTAATTTATTATATGGCTTTCCAACTAATTTGTCCAATAGATCTTACCAAAGGAAAGCCAAGGGTGTTCTGGAGGGAGCATGAGCATGAATATCCAGTGCTTGCAGCGATGGCACGGGATAATCTGGCAACACCTGCTAGTGGCGCTGGTGTTGAGCGGCTTTTCAATTGTGCTCGTGATGTCTGTCACTATCGCCGGGGGCAGCTTAAACCAGAGACAATCAGGTCTCTAATGCTTCATTTGTTCGCATCGAAGTTCGAGCTTCAACAAACCGAGCTCGAGATGATCAAGGAGTATCTCTCTAGTGGAGAGGCTGCTATACTCGATCAGACATGGAAGCCAACTCCGTCGCTTAACGATATCGAGCCAATCAGTGAAAACGAAGAAGATGGTAACCAAGCGGAGGATGGATCGGATGATTCAGAAAATGATTTGGGAGGTAATCATACAGTTGAGCAGGCGACTCCTACACCGGTTACAACCCAGGGCAAGCAACCACGGCGCAAGCGGCCTCATAGTGCCGTTGAGCCCCAGGATGATGGTGATAATGATCTCCCGCTTCCTGAAATGCCAGCTGAAGGGTCCACGCAGGGGAGATCGGGGAGGATTCGGAAGAAGCCAAAGCAGCCAGATGGATTTGAATTTGATAACCTGTAATGTAATCTTGGAAAATTGAATGCTGTTGCAATAAAGCGAGACAAAGTAGGTTAATTTGGAGAAAAGACCGTAGGCCACTCATTCGCGTGACAAATATACAATCAATTACACATTGAATACTCCAAAAAATACTGGGAAAATGCATAATTTATGCATACTCGTTCAGGTCACGAGTCTTAGCATGTTTGCAATATTTGTTATCGTACGATAATCCGCGGATATCCGCAAATGAAAATATAATTATCGTATCGTATCGTTGCGGATAATTCGATAATGAATTTATATCGTTATCCGCAATTTATGGATACGATAATCGATTATCTTCCGATAATTTGGATATTGCCGCAGCCTATGTAGGATCTCGACTGGTTCGGGAAAACCAACCACCAATCATGTGAGGCGATTTACACAGTGGGGCGGTTTGATACCTGAAGGTACAGTGGTGTAACATTAGTATTTGACCTCCGGTACTTCGGGACCCTGACCGCTTTTTGGACCGCCTACTTTATTAGTACGTCAACACTCGCGTTTTCAACACGCCAGTATATACGCTATAATTTTACGCGTTTCTCACTATTTCTCTCTATAACAATGCCACCTATACGCGGAAAAAGAGGTCCAGAGCTTGACTGCCTTACCCGGGCTAAGATCTGCGAATTACATGCTGCAAATGGCTGGGGTGCTACGACTATTAAGAAGCAGCGCTTTCCCGACATTCCACGCTCAACCATCCAATATACGCTCACCCAAGAAGCAAAGCGTCAAAAGCATGAAAGCCTTCCACGCTCAGGCCAGCCGAGGAAGATTACTGAAGAGGATCGTGACCATATCTACGATATTATACAAGAAAAGCCTTCAATTTTGATCGAGGATCTACTTGGAGAGGTTGATTTTAAAGTCCACCGTATGTCAATTTGGAGTTTAACCCACGAAATGGGCCTTCGAAAATGGAGGAAGATGCAGCGGCCGGCATTGACGCCTATACACGCCGAGAAACGTCTTCGCTGGGCTCTTCAATATCAACATTTTATATCAGAGGATTGGGCCCGCGTCTATTGGTCTGACGAATGTACGGTTGAACGTGGCATTGGCCAGCGTCAAAAATGGACTTTTACGCGTCCGAAAGATCAGCTTTTTCAGCATTCGGAAGAAGGCCATCAGGTTCAAATGGTTCTAGCGCGGGGGAAGCAAATTAAGCAGATGTTTTGGGCTGCTTTTTCCGGACTTCCACGTCGATCAGGCCTTATTCCCCTATTCGGAGATCCTCTATCTCGAAGAGGTGGCGTCTCTTCACGTACGATCGAAGAGCTCTATCGGCGCGTCTTACCTACGCTCCTTAATAGCATTGATTCTAATGCTATTTTTCAGCAAGATAACGCGCCTGTTCACACGGCATATATTGTACGGGACGCTTTAAATGAGCTCCAATGCGATATCATGGAATGGCCTCCCTATTCGCCTGATTTGAACCCGATCGAGAACCTCTGGGCGCTGCTTAAAGCGGAAATCCTGAAGCGTCACCCAGAGCTCATGCAGCTTCCTAATAATGAACCTACGCTAGAATTACTACTAGAAGCTGCGCAGGAAGCATGGGAAGCGCTAGATATCGATCTCTTTAAGCATCTATCGGAGACAATGCCTCATAGGGTAGCTGATGTCATTAAGTATGGCGGGTGGCATACTAGCTATTAAATTGAATTGAATTCCGAGGTTTCTGCCAGGCAGTATAACAAAGTGGGTCCTAGGCCGAAGTACCGGAGGTCAAATACTAATGTTACACCACTGTATCAGGTAGTTGGCAAATAGCATAGGATGTAGCTACATACTGTATTACGCTGTTGTTGTTTTAATCGCGCGTACTAAATCCAAACTACGTACAAAAAGGCGTCAGCGGTAAGACGCACGCAACCTTCCGAAATGAGCAACTGAAAGATAAAAATCTAGTAAAGGCTGAATGGGGCCGATGTCAGACCGTCCTAATGCACCTGTACATCAATATTGATCAGGGGCCGTGCTGAGCAGATCAGCTGAAAAGTCCTCGAACACGACCAATTGTATCACGTCCCTTCGGATGACCATCCAGAAGGCTACGTCTCGATTGGTCTTCCCGGCACTAAAATATATTTACTCTGCCTATGGATTCAATTATGAGAAAAAGTAACTGGTAGCTAAATATATGCCTGCGGGTTATATCTAAATCTCTCGGCCGTCTGAAACGAGCTAACTTTGAAAGTGCTTGGGATACAAGCTAGCAGTTACAGTGCCGTAGAGTACGTAAAATATGTGTGCACAAGATGGGGCAAATGAGGACTACGAAAATTGCTACGCGAATTGCTACTGATCATGCATCCTCTCCAGACACGCCAATGATTCATCCTTTGTTACACAACAAAGTGCAACCACAACATCACTTTCCATTTTGCATGCGTCTCCGTACAATGAAATTCCGGAACTGAGGACTAACATGCCTCAAGATTGTTCATTATGTCGGAACTTGCTGTCTTCCGTAACTTGCTCAGCCAATGAGGGCATTGAAATCTCTGTCATTTATTACTTGCTATTTCTTGCTATTTATGCTATGCTCATCCTTAGTAATCCGCTCATTCGGAGTTACTATAATTCCGGTTCTCAATCCGTATTCATGAATGCAGCACTGACACATTATTACTGCCTTATTATTCCGACTTGGGCTCCTGTCATGTGACGTTAGGCCGTAACAGCCCCGCCTATTCCTGCGTCGGACGCAATGTCGACAAGACCCCGCGCTTCCCCAAGCATTTCTCTCTATAGTCGGTAAGTATCAAACCAGGTCGGGTGAAACCACCAAGCTGACTTTACTACAGTCAACTTTTAGGCTTTGCGAAGAAATGGCGGGTGAGCCTCTGTGGGAAAGCGCGAAAACGATATTGTCGAATATGAGGGGTCTTATCCAGAGCGGAAGCATGGAACGGGTCAAAGAGAGTGAATTAGGCTGGCAATACCGACTTTTGGAGGAATGCATCGCAATGAAAGCAGATATAGAAGCTCGGGGTCATAAAGTCTGTATCATCTTGCCACAGCCATTTTTGTAACATTTATCTTACAGTCCTCGTCTAGGTACTCGATTGCACAGTTTTTCACTTCGCATTAGCCGCTAGGCTTGAGAACCCCACGAAACGGCTGTGGCTCGCGCCCATACAAGGAAAATCAAACTTGACACGTGCGGAAACCTTACTGCCGGGCTCATACTGGGACATTACAGACATCGATCGAGTTCTCACGCCAGACCGCTTCACCGGCTCGGACATTCTAATAGTAACACTTGACGGGAGTGGAAAAAATTAGATGCGTGAATGGTTAGTTGTCAGAACACGATTAGTTGGTGGAAAGCAAATTGCAATGTGTACAACAACGATATATATTATGATCATATCTAGCTCTTCAATTTCAAAACACGGAAAGCATAGGGCGTTCGCGATATGGAAAATTATTGTCGTAATTGCGGAGGCCCTCAGATTGGCCTTCGTTCTGGGTAGTCGATGAAGTAGTTCCATAGCTGGGATTGAACACTGGAGGGTGGCCAGTATCAAACTGGGCGCCGAGCTCCATATCCACCGTCTCATCCTGGCTGACCGAGGGGATCGTCCCGTAGTCAAATTGGTTGAATGCAGGAGGAATGCGGCCAGTGTCAAACTGGGCGCCGAGATCCATATCCACCGTCTCATCCTGGCTGACCGAGGGGATCGTCCCGTAGTCAAATTGGTTGAATGCAGGAGGAATGCGGCCAGTGTCAAACTGGGCGCCGAGATTCATATCCAAGGTCTCATCTTGGCTGAGTCCCCGGATCGTTTCATAGTCACATTGATTGAAATTTGGTGGAACTTGATCCATGTCATATCTGGTGCGGAGTTCCAAGACTCCACTTTCATGCTCAAAAACTGGTTGTATCTGTCTTGTCAGATATGCAGCCGCTTCCGTACTGTGACTCCTGGCAGAGCTCATATCTGTTTCGGTATTCCTCGAGTGAGTCAGAGGTCGAGGCTCCGAATCCTGATTGATCAATTCAGAGATAGCCAGCGGAACGCTTCTTTCCCGTGGCGCTTGAATGGTTGATATTGTATTGTGTTCAATCAGAGGAGGCTGCCGTCTATCATGTGAATATGAGTCCGGCTGGTGAAGATTGAAGCGATTGCTTGATATTGTGGGTCCCGAGGTGAGTAGATAACTGCGCGTTTGCTCATAATTTTGTGGATCACCCAATGTAGTAAGTTGACTTGGAATTGTATGGAGCAAACTTCCGCTAATTTCGCAACCCCAAGTTCTTTGAACCTTTCGCCACATAGTGTGCCTTGCTACCATCGAAATTAGAGGTGCTCTTATGAATGTGCGACAAACTTACCATCATATCGAATTTGACAGGCAGTCAACCATGAAGATTTGTCCTTTGCCAGATCATGCCAGGCACCAGATTTCCGAAGCAGATGTTTCAGAGCCACGAAACTTCCATATTTGACGTCGCGAAACAAGGTGAACAATAATATCAGAATGGCTGACACCCCAACGTGACCATATATCCGTTCGAAAACGAGCAAACGAATGCCGTCTCTAATACCATGAGATGCCGATTCTTTGTTTTTGAATGAAATAGCGTTTTGTGCCAGGAACCTGTTGATTAGCCCACTGTTATCGTCAATTGCCTCCGGATCTAGAGAACGCCCTGACACTGGTGATGTTCCGAAGACTTCACGTTCCCATTTATCGAACTCTATTGCGAGGGACCTTTGTCCAAGTCCGCGTCGGAAACACGCATCCAATGAGCAGCCCCGGTTACAAAGTCGGATATCGACCACACGAGGGTCCTCTTGCACCCAATCGTCACCGTTCTGCGCATGTGGATCGCGATGAGATGATAAATACTTGAAAACCTTTTCAGATCGACGGGCACCGTGAAGCGCATCCATAAGCCTTTGAGCATCCAAGGCTTCTGATGCTTCCTCGGTCGTGTCATTGTTTTCACCGGTCTCTTCCACAGACGATTGGGTAGCGCAGGACGTCCCACTGCTAGGAGGTGTTTCCGAGCAAGTAATGGAAGTTGTTGGTGTAGGCTGCTGGGAAGAATGTTGGAGACTGGTTTCCGACCGTGGAGCCTCGCTCGGAATAGTGTCTAGTGTTTTCTCTATAATTCGCAAGGTTTGTTCCAACGTGGTTCGGTATGGTATAAGGTCTTGAGTGCTAATTGCACCCAGTCTCGACAAAATTTGAATCGCCTCAACAATCGCAGATATGTTGATCATTATGGGGAAGAAGTTGAAAAATGGAGAATGTCACGGCCGAGAAGAACGATCAAGGCCGAAACAGCGGGAATTGTTCACCGCTCACGAACTCGCAGATACAGCGAGTATGTGCGTATGGGATCCCTGCTAGTGCGCCCCAAATCATATTTCGGGCGCACTAGTAAGGAGATCTCCTGCCTGTGGCGCCTTTACCCCTCAGCTCATCGGCTGAGTCTTCTCGAGAGGCTGCCTGACTGCAATCGTTGGACAATACGAACTTTGAAATCTTGGCCCATTGACTGCAGCTAGACCTGGCTACGACCCTCCGCATGGGTCCCTACCCCGGACCCTCGAACCTCCCCTCTTGAGGGGAGGTTCCAGCCTTCCGACCCTCAACCTACCCTGAGGGTCGTTGAGGTTCACTATGCGGACCCTCGGCGACCCTCAACGACCCGCATTTGCATAAATTTTCCACGCCTTACCTCTTTTGGTTGGACAAAATTGATGATTCATCTCTGTTTTTTACAGCGGTTCCGTTAATTTGTAGATATTTCACTGAATACACCATCAATATAATAAATTATAAACAAATATTCATGTAAAAGTAAACCGTAGGCATGGTCACCTACAAATTACAAGTAATATTCGATGATATCGATATGGTGAGTGGTCAGTGCCGGTTGTCGACAAAACAGCGTGTAAAGTTGTAGATATATATATTGTAGGTACTGTAACCCATGTGTACCTTCATTTGTAGAACCACTATTTTTTAAGAAAACTATAAAGACGTAGTTCAAATCCCCTCATTTTTACATCATTTGAACTGTTATATCTTCTTCTATTACTTTGTCTTTAAGAATTTAGAACAAATTATCTAGGTATGTCGTAACTCCGGTTCAACGGTTGCAATTATTAGACTTGGCCGTTCCGATTAAGACTATTTTCTTAACTTGAGGGTCTCTTTGAGGGTCGCTGCGGGTAAGTGAGGGTCTATTGGAGGTTCGTTGAGGTTCATTTATTAGGTTATCCACTATGCTATCCAATCAGATCTAGCTATGTGGATACAAAAGACGATAGATCAATTCTGGCATATAGAACAGGGACGAACGGATGCCCCAAGAATATCGCGCATTTTTTCGTACAAAATAATTAGTAAGTTCCTCGTTATTTTCTCCTCAGTCATAGTACTGTCTTCTGGTTACTAAATCTATTATGTCTCAGCTCTCCGACGTCTACGCATCATCCAGCTTCGACGGGGTGCAATTAGACGCGCTACAATACCTTGTTCCTAACGATTCCCTATCCCAACGTGAAAGCCAGAGCCAACTACTATCCGAAAGCCAGTTTGGATCAGTTCCAGACCTTCCAGACCTTCCAACCCATCGATCGCGCGTGGCACCTCAGGCCCCAGACATTCTTCCGCGAACCAAACCAGACCGTATCAACGAGTACGTCGTCTTCACAACTACAATGACCGCAGAATTTATTCAGTGGTGGCTTGAAACCGACTTCGGTAAGAAGAAGCGGATCAACTGGGATATGAACCGTCGTGCAGAGTGCTGAAAAGGGTTTGAACAGGTTGCAAATGCCAAAGATGGGAAGCCAGGCGTTATATGCAAACGGTGCCGTACAATTCTTGAGCATCCAAGTACCAACCATACTGGAACCTCATCGATGCAGAAACATCTCGATGGGCTAAGGTGCCGACAGCGAATACCGAAGAGGGGTAATATCCAGCAACTACTTAGTGACGCGGTATGTTTAAACTAGCCTACATTCAATGTCAATACTAATACTGAATTCATTATCATTTAGGCCGAGAGAAGACCGGCGCCTACCTTTACCCAGCAAATATGGGAGCAGAAGATTCTGAACCTGATCACTGTATCGCATTTACCCTTCCTATTCGTCGAGCATCAAGAATTCCAGGACCTCCTTTCCTACGCACGGCTAGCACCCACACCACCAAGCGTTCCATCAAGAAAGGTGATTCGCGACCGCCTTCGGGGTTTCGTTATAGAACAACAACAGGAGACACTACAACAGCTTCCATCTAGTGCAACAATGTCGATTGCGCTTGACTGTTGGACTTCTCCATTCCAGCAAGCATTCATGGCTATCACAGGATACTTCCTAGACCAGGAATGGGACTATCACGAGGTTCTCCTTGGGTTCGAGCCAATTTCTGGATCTCATACCGGAGTGAACCTCGGTAGGATTGTTCTCCAGATCCTAGAGAAGCACCAGATCGCTGACCGTATACTGGCGGTGACAACTGATAATGCGTCTAATAATAAGACACTTATCGCAGCGGTGAATGATTCGACTAAGACGCTACAATCTGAGACAGATTCTACGATTGTCCAAGTGCCTTGCCTTGCACATGTTATTCAATTAAGTCTAATTGATTTACTTGGTAAAATCAAGGCCTCACCGAAGAATGACAATGCCGAGACAGAATGGTCTGAAGATCGTGTACGTTCACTTCGTGCGCGCCAGCAGAAACATGAGATCGCCGATACTCTAAATAAGGTCAGCTTAAAGCTTCTATTTACGAAGCATGATCCAATAACGCTAAGCATCCTTATAGGTCCGCGGTCTTGCAGTTTATATCAACGGAAGCCCTCAACGCAAAGAAGCCTTCTTGAATCTTCAATCTAATAACGCTGGTATAAGGCTTCTCCCAATCCAGGATGTCCGTACACGATGGAATTCGACATTTCTGATGCTCCGGCGGGCGACAAGGCTTCATAACACATTCGACAAGTACTGCAAGGACTTTACCCAAACCCATTTTGCATTGAGTATCGAGGGGTGGCGACAGATTGACTATCTACTTTGCATTCTCCAGCCCTTTTTTACGCTTACTACGCTAGTTTGTCGTACTAAAGACTCGAGTATCCACCTTGTCTTTAGGATTTATAACAAGCTTTTTGATCATCTTGAAAGATCAATACGTCAGCTACGTCGAAAGAAAGTTCACTGGAAACAGCTGATGCTTTCCTCCCTTGAGGCTGCGAAGGAGAAACTGAAGAAATACTACGGCGAGACCGATAATATCGAAGGTAATCTCTATGCAATTGGGATGATCCTAGCGCCGTCGAGTAAGATGGAGTTCTTTTCAACAAGTGATTGGGACCTAGATCCTGAGATAGGAAAGGACTATAGAAAAGTATACCGCGAGAGTCTTCAGTCTCTCTTCGAAAGATATAGCCAACGTGTACCATCAGATATGATACAGCCTAATAGCCAGTTATTAATAACTGAATCGGAGCTAGAGAGGGCCCTTGACGGCGATTCTTCACCACGATCAATTGCTCCGCAGTACGACGAGCTCACCAAATATCTCCAGAGTGGTAAGTAAGTAAGCCTATTTTATGAATCATATAACTAACCTCACCTGATTAGATACTATTAAAGGATCCGTTCGGATCTTTTGGAAAGATCATCAGAGAGAATTCCCTGTTCTTGCAAGCATTGCCCGTGATATTATGTCAATTCCAGCGACTGGTGCCGGAGTTGAGCGTCTATTTAACTCTGCCCGGGATGTATGCCACTACCGCCGGGGGTCGTTGAATCCAGAGACTATTCGTGATATCATGTTGTATATGTGTACAACAAGATTTGATATCAAGGAGGAGCAGCGGCTGATTCTCCAAGAGTATCTTTTAGACCATGAGAGAGCAGCTTCGGCAGAAGCACTTGATGTCCAGACACATACCTTCGAGGCTATCAGTGATGACGAGGAGGAGGATGTTGAGTTGCGTCTTGACACACCGGCTGCTATATCAATTATGCAAACAACCCCGAACGCACCGCCACTGTCAGCAGTCGCCGCTGGAAAGCGGTCTGCGGTCACTTCTAGTGGTGAGGAAGATTCTGATGCTGATGGATTTGCGGAGGAGAACCTATCATTATCCTTCCCTGATACGCAGCATCGTGTATCAGGTAGGATACGGAAGAAGTCGAGACTACTGGATGGGTATATAGTTTGACCCTTGACTTGTTAGAACCATGACTAGACACTGTGCTATAGATGTAATGTAAACCATTCAAAATTTAAACCTCTATTCGAGGATGAACCTATGGTATGCACTAAGGAGTGGATATGTACTGTAGTATCCTTCTGTAAGGCCATACAGTGATGGATTTTTAGTTTACAATTACAATGAAATACAGCCTGTTCTTACATAATTTATGCAATTGACGTCCAGTCACGTTTTTTACCTTTTTGTCATGTTTGACGACCCTCAGGGTCCCCGCGGGTCCAGGTCTCGGACCCTAACCCTCCGCATGGGGAGGTGAGGGTCAGGGTCGTGGAGGGTACCCGCGGGTCCTAGCCAGGTCTAACTGCAGCTAAGCTGTTGTTCACTAAGAGATAAGTTCTTTTTCACTCTAGTAGAGGACGTTGTTGGACAAGATGGGGTTATCAGTTCTCTCCCGCTCAGCGACTTGAATGCGATTTTGGCACAGCAACATCTGAACAAGAGATGCCGATTCTTCTCTGTATATCATGACATAAAGAGACCTCTGTATCTCTGGGCCACCGCTCATTCGAAATCTCATTTGAGAATTCACGGTAGCGGGCTATGATCTGCTTGAGCCTACAGAGAGTTTATTGTGTGGTTTCAAACTGCATTTCCCGCCTCTTCTCCCCAAACAGCTCGCGCGAGACAATTCTATTCGGGGGCCCAGACCCCAATCGAAGTAGTATGCATGAACTTGCGAAAGGCGCCATGCCTATGATGTTGGAAGAACAGCCGGCCTTTTCTCCCCCTTCAGACTCTAGTCTTTCTGCCAAAAACTCAGTACCGATTCGTTTACATGTAAGTTACCCTTTCTCCACATTAACACAAGCTCTAACCAAACAAGGCCGTACGAATTTGGTTCCCTCCCAATGGACTCACACTTATGGAAGACATCAAAAGAAACGGTCTCAATGATGTGGTTTTTGATGCCATTGCTCTTCGAGAGCTTGGCGATCAGCATCAAGCTCAGGATGACCATGGTATCACGCATGAAGCATTCCTAGTGGATCTTGCGGTGCTTGAGACTGGTATTGTACGGGTTTTGGGCAAATATGGGATTCTAAATTTCGTCCCTCTGAGCAGCGATGATCCGATTATTTTGCAACAACCAGCAGAAGATCTCGACTCAAAGAAAGCTCTTTGCTACCAACGCCTACATTCAAAATACTCACAGGAGTATGTGAAAAGGCAGCGCCTCACCAAAGTTTTGGATTTTAAGATGAACAAGCTTTGGACGGACTGGTATGATGACTCTCTTAGAGAAATTGGTAACCGCCTTAGAAAGCTCGGTTATTGTTGATTAAAGTAAATATAATTTGATTTATGGTTTGATCTTGCACTGATCACTAGAAAAGCCTCAATCTAGGACAAATAAAAAGTTGAAGCTCGAGGGGACCGTTTCACACATAATGCTTCGGTATCGTTCTTGAAGTATTCTCCTCACTTCACTATTATGAGGCCGTCTCAAGAAAGTAATCAAGCCCTGTGATGCTTCAGAAGATGAAGCGTCAAAATGCCAAGTCATCAGTGCCAACACTAGGACAGCACCATAACTAAGATGCTGTAAAATATTCCCCACGTGGACGCATAAGTCATTTTCGAGAGAAAAGCCTTCATCGAGATATGATTCCTGGGATCTTCTGCTTCTCAAAGCCTTGCAGGCATCTAGCAGCAACCTAGCATCTTGGCTGGGGTTTTCCGAGGACGTCCATTCCCAGACTGACGGAGATTCAATCCTCAAAGAGAGCATTGCTTTCAAAGCAATTCCTGCCGGCCCATACAGGAATTGGACGGGAATCGGGGCGGGCTTCTAATGTGAGCATATCATCGTCGCAAGCGAGAAGTGCAGGTACTCACCATGGCTAGATCTTTGGTAATGACAAGGTGCGATCGATGGCTACCTCGGACAGTATAAGTAGGTCCCTTTATATCCTCTTTCATTTTACTCTATAAGGCCTCTTCCTCGAGCTCTATGATTTAGCACCTCTTCTCAACACAAGCCTGCCGGAATGTCTTCACCTTCATTCTTTAGCATTGGAATTATCGACATTAATCCAGAATTTAACCTATTCCTTTCTAACGTTCCAATGGCCAACCTAAGCTGTGCCTTCTTCATTTGTTGGCAAGAATACTCTACAGAAGGCATACCACTGTAAGTCTCACCCCGCTAGCACCACGGCCTATTTAGCTGACGAAAGCGTAAGAGACGAAGAGACTACCACTGGGGTGGAATTTCGAGAAGGGTCACTCACTCCCCTAGGTGGTTTCATTCCTGCTATATTGCAGAACCCGCTGGTTATCCGTAATATCCAGAATGACCCGCGCATTGGAGGACTGAAACTTGTCGTATATGAGTGGGTCGTCTATCCTTTTTTCATAGGCTTGACTACTGACATAGTGGTTTATCAAGCAGAACCCAGAATATATCGAGCGGCCGTTCTTTTCTGTAAGCACAGAGACTGTCCACTCATACATCCGAAATCAGCTAACATTGCAGGGCGTTCTCGATCAGAATGGGAGCTTCGCAGCTCAGTGCTTTACCTATCTCGAACCATGTAACCCTGCCGGAACGCGTACGGCATATCATCTTACACGATCTGCCCTAGGTAAAAAGTGCTAGCAAGGGTCTTGGTGTTCTTCCGATTACATTGCTTTCTTCAGTCTTAGCTTTGTCAACATCAAGAATCAGAATTATACATTTCGATGTCTTCCCCACAAATGTACAGCCTCCACTTTGTGCTGATAGCCATTTAACCCCTGGCTTCGCCAATCAGCCATATCTTAGACCTACACTCCCATACACTTGACAACCGCCCGCGTCCCCCCCCAAGGAGTACAGGGCCTTGTCCCATGGCCATACAGCCTGGCATGTGGCATGAGGGCACCCTAGGACTGGATACCAATGTCGTTGTCCAGTCTAGATAAATCGATCTTGCTTAATATAGAAAGTTCGCTATCTCGGCCATACTATTCTACGAGACGATCCCGAAGACCATGCACCTAGACTGCGACAAGTATATCATCATCACCAGCGTGAGGTGCTGATACTTATTTGGTGTAATGACAAGATGCGATCGAGATCGATCGCCACCTTGGACAGTATAAATGGGCCACTTCGTATCCTCCTGGTTTGAATAAAATAGCACCAACCTAAGTTTGAAACCTATATATTGATACTTTTACCATATACTCGTCTATATTATTTGAATCTGTTTTACAAATCGGCCCTATGGAGTGTTTGTCTTCAATCTCGCTTCGATTGCTTCTACCGAGCTGCATGCAGGCATTTTTGGGACCGAAAATCGAGCAGGAAATAGACGAGGACCTAGAGCAAGCAATCCCAAATGCTGCCAATCTCTATAGGTTGACTGAACCTGTGATATATGAGCCGGAAAATACCAAATCTACATCTAGCCTCAAAAGGCCTCTACCAGTCTGCAATCCAAAGCAAACGGAGAAGGGAGAAGCGTCGCAAATTAGTCTAGTTAGAGACTGTTATAGTGAGTTTTTCCTACAAAGCGAGAAACCTTTGATAATGCCTCCTCACTCTGCAACCTTCAGAAAGCAGACCTCAAACGGACTCTATACAATCAGACGGCAACACAGATAGCAACATCATTGTGCTCCCTTACATCCCTCCAAACATTCGACTTGTCAACGGCAGGATTATTGATAGCGAGCGAGATACACCGATTTCTTAAATGGTCAATCACACATTGGAAAAAAGATCATCCTTGAATATGATGCTTAGTCTTAGTCAGTTTACTGAGCTTCCAGTACATCCCCTCTCATTTCACTTTATTCTCAGATGCGTTAATTTTTAATGGCTTCTTGATATCTAAGTCTCCGATATCCCCTATTGACTGAGGTGAAATAGTCCCGGCACTTCTGTAGCATGATTTACCACCAGAATATGTCAATAACTCAGGCATGCTCTTCCAGGTGATATACCATGAAGGACATGATTCGCTGTGAATAGTGGGTACATAGGTGACCAGAATGTGCGAGATAGTTCCGACTCCACAAGGGAAGAAAAATTGGTAAATTGGAATTTTGTTGGAAAACAAAGCGCAAGCAAAGCGTATAAGGGGAAAGGAAATGCTTCGCATTGCATGGCCGATGTTTCGTGGGCAAATCTATGATTCTTGGTTCATGTATTACTTGTCAGGCGGCAAAGGTGTCAGCCTACTTCTCATTATTAATGGGTAGTTCTCGATGTAGTTAGGTCCCTTTGGAAGCGAGATGATTTTGTCCGAGAGACGGACGAGTCAAGTTCTAGGGTTAATGGTACCTAATATCATATATCGATCAAATTGCGAGTTGGAAGAGACATGAGTGGCAATATATAAGTGGCATGACCTGAAACAGAACAACTCTTTCTTGGCAAAAACGTTTTCTTGGAATATCTAGCCAACCAGAGGTCGCAGGACCTCAAGAATTAGTTCACCGTAGTCGTAACTTCAAGCGCTACCATCTGATACCTGTTTCATAGGGAAGATGGCAGCGGCGATTGCGACTGGTGCGAATGCACAGAATTTGCCCCCTGTCAGGAGAGGAACACCAAAAATCACGGCCCTCGCGGACCCGCCCCGATCCATGGACGAGATCGCGGAAGGGGCCCGCAGGGTGCTTAACCACATCGAAAACAGTGGCACGGAAGACCGATATGTCACTGGATATATTCGCTCCGTCCGCCAGTACGCACTTAACGCCCAACGGGGCGACGGCCAGGGGATGGCCAAGGTGCTCGAGGCGCTGACCAAAATCAACCTCGACACCGAACGTCTGAACCAGCGAATCGACACCATCGAAAAGACAACAAGCACCTTATCGACAACTTTATCCACACCCGCGGCGAACTCTGCTGCAGCGTGGCGTAGCTTCCGAGCCGGAGAATGGCAACGCGACCTAACCAAGGCTGTGGCACCCAACACCCGGAGCAACGGCACGTCGTCTCCAGGTGTGCCGGAAATCGAACTTCGCGAGGATCGGGAGGTCATCGTCAAAGTAGGGCCAAACCGGGAGCAGATCCGAGGATTGACGCCGAAGGATCTGGTTGAACGGGCCGAACGACAAAGGACGACAAATGCCCGACAGAAGAATTCTGGGGTACTGGCTAAGCAGGCCTCATTTGTCGCAGCCCGCAAACTGCCCTCGGGTGACGTGGCGATGATAGCTAACAGTGCTGCAGGGGCAGAGGTCCTTCGCAAGCACCCGGCATGGTTGAGGGCTTTTGGGCCTGGGTCGGTGATCCAGGAGCCGTCGTGAGGCATCGTGGCATACCACATCCCCGTGAAATCGATGAAGCTTACACCGGAGACGATGGCCGACGTCGCAGCGGAACTGCTCAGACAGAACAACTGGGGCGAAGACTCCAAGATCCAGTATCTGGGATGGCTGACGCGTCCGGGTGAAAGGGCGGAGGGTTCGATTCTGATCGAGTTCACCAGTCCAGTTGTGGCTAATCGTGCTATCATCACCGGGGTTGTGTGGGGGAAGCAAATTCATAATGCATCACGATTCTGCCGCGAGGGGCGGATGAAGCTATGCAGAAAATGCCAAAAGCCGGGGCATATCCAGTCACACTGTCCCAACGTTCTCAAATGCGGCCACTGCGCCGACGCACACCCGACCTGGGAGTGTCCGTCGACAAAGGGGCAAGCGATACCTGTGAAGTGCGCCAACTGTGGCGAGGGACACCGTCCTACAAGTCGAGAATGTCCAGTGAAGACTGCGGCGATGAATGAAGCTAAACAAGCGCTGGCCAACTGCCCTGCATATCACCGCATTCCTATGCACTTCCGAGTGGCAGCAAGCACCGGCAAAGAAGCAACCTCGACCAGGGCAGACCCCATGGCGTCGAACGGTCTCGAAGCGTCGATACACGCCTCGGAGGGGCAGCGGGGGGAAGAACCCGCGCAGAACCTCGAAGATGCTGTAATCGACGGGGAGGCTGCAGCAATAGAAGTAGAAACATCACCAGAGGAGAACACTGAGCCTATCCAGCCTACTCAGCTCAAAAGAGGCCCTGGCCGCCCAAAAGGCTCAAGAACGAGGCCAAAGAATTCCAAACCAACAGTGGTACCGCTGGCATGCCAAGGGTCAACAAGGCTCCAAGCGGCCTCGAAAAGGCGCCGCACAGGCGAGCCAGACGACACCATGGACGAGCAACCAGACGACAATGAATGGCTCAGCATTCAACCCACTCCGGCCGATCTCCCTCAGCCTGACACTCAGCAGGTTAGCCTAGAACACCAGCTTACCCAATTCATCAACGAGTTCACCACTGTCAACGAGGCCGGTAACACGTCCGAGCCCGATGACGAGGAGGAGCTGGACCCGGAGAGCCCCGAATATCACAAATTGGTGATTCTGAAATACAAGCAGCGGCAAGCGATAACAATCGGATCGTCTCCGCCGGTTTTTACGACGGATGCACCGACAATCGAAGACCCAAATGATGAAGTATGGCACGAGGCCAGCGAACGAAGCGATGACGAACAAACTCACCAATGAAGCCGTTTGAGATTCTTCAATATAACGTACACAAATCGTGGTCAGTGATGGCAACGTTTCTCAGAGACATAAATATCCTCGCGGCGGACGTCGTCGCGGTGCAGGAGCCATGGAAGAACGAACTACAACATACAACGCACCAACCAGCGACGGCAACATTCCAGCTAATTTACCCACCAAAAGCAGCTGCCGACGGAACAACCCAAGGCCAGGACGATCAGGCCCAAGCCTCGGATCTCCCCCAACCGGGAGTATGCCTGTTTGTGTCTAAAAGGCTTGACCCGAGCACTTGGTCGTGTCAACTCGTCTCTCAGGACTACCAGTTACTGAAACTCAGAAAGGCTCACCAGGGCAGAGACTGGACAGATCTCTTCATACACAACATCTACAACAGGCCGGGCAGCAATACCCTTAGACACCTAAAAAAGGAGCTGTCAAAGCGTCCTCATGGAGAACACATCATCCTTGGGGATATGAACGCGCATCACCCGAGATGGGGAGGATCAGGGACCAGGGCCGATCAAGAGGCCAAGCAACTCCTAGAGATCGCCAATGAATGGGGACTCGAGTTGACGACCCAACAAGGCAGACCAACCTGGTCTCGAAACGATCAGTCGTCAGTGATTGACCTCACCTTCATCACATCCAACCTTGTCAGCAGGCTTATCAATTGCGAGAGAGCGGATGACATCGAACATGCATCCGACCATTTCCCGATCAGAACTGTGCTGGATATTATTACACCAGTCGCCGTACAGCAGAAGAGAAGAAACTGGAGCGCAACTGATGATCAGAAACTTATCCAGAAGATCGAAGGAGGTCTACAGACAGGAGGCTTATACCAGGCAGATCCGCAAAAGATAGAAGCCACATGCCAGGAGCTGATGGGAGTGATACAGTCAGCAATCGAGGATTCAACCCCATGGGCAAAACCATCCGCATGGTCGAACCCCGACTTTGGCGACGAGTGTAAAGTTGCGGTCAAAGAAGTTCGTCGCCTCCGTCGCAGACATACGAAAACCAAAGACCCCTACGACTGGATGTGCTACTCGGAAGCACGCAACAAGAAAACGCGACTCGTCAAGAAAACCTTGTCAAGAGCGC